TATTCACATGAAAATTGAGCTAGCACAAACAGTTTATACAAGTATTTAAAAATTGCTCCAAAAGGCAAGAAGCACGTGTCATTACGCATTAGAAAGAACCCAGAAGGAGGCAGGGCTCACTCTATCCTGTATGTCCTTTGACGTTGGCATATGGATGTACAGGATTCATGTACCTCTCCAGCAAGAACTGCTAAAATGTACCTACTTAAAATGTAAGGCTTTGCAGCAAAGCATCTGTTACTGCAGCATATAAAAAAATTATTAACCGAAGACAAGGATTATTATAGGAATAGTAAGATGAGTAAGGAACTAATTGAACAGAAGAGGGAAATAGATTAGGCTGAAAAGGAATTACTGATGGTGTTTTGGAGTGGCACCTTATTTAATATTTTCATTAATGACAGTATAAAAACTAAGCATAAACTGATGAAATTTGAACATATATTTGAAACTGGGACAAAGTTGACAGCAATATCAAACAAAGGACTAGAATTTTACATAGGAAGAATTTAGTAATATGAAGTCTGAAGTAATATAAGCACCGTGAAATGAATAAGTGTAAAGTTATGTGTTTGAGAACCAAGTTATTTTGTTGGAAACAAGGTGGTCCTGTGGTTAAAAAAAAATTACAGGAGAAAAAGGTTGGTAACAGCTTCTACTTCCTGGAGTCATAAGCAGTAAGAAAATAATAGTAGCAGAGCTCATACTGTGATACAGTTTTCAAAAAACACTAAGAGATATAACAGAAAGTGAATTTCTGCTGCTGAAGTTTCCTCAGTACTGATGCATATCATTTCTGCAGTTTTTCTAGAACCATGATGTGGAACTGGACAGGGACAAATGAGCCACCATTATTAGAGAAGACTAAGGACACATCTATGCTGAACCACCTAACCCAGTCCCAATGATTGCTGAGTAAATTAAAGCTAAAATTACATAGCTTTTTGAAGCCTCGAGCTGTGCTTAGGATCATGCTCAGACAAGCAGTAATACAGCAACAGAGCACGCAGGACTAGGTTTTATCTGAAGCAGAATAGGCAAGATTTGTGCCTATTTGCAATACCTTAATGGAACTGTAAAACTGCCTGCTGCTTGTGGAAAGTTTTGCAGCTGTTCCTGAAAGTTGCCCTAGACCAGCTAATTGTCAAGATGTAAGTACTGAGCCACACTCTTCTGCCTGAAATGGGCAGCTACCGCTATAGGTACTCCTAGCACAGACACAACAGGACACTGTACAGTGGTCTTGGTTCACAAGGCACTGGAGCAGATCAGCAAATTACAAGGTAGCCCGTGTGCCTTGTGATTTCACACTGCAGTCATTGGAAGTGTTTTTCACTAAGCATTTAAGTGAGGTGAAAGATTCTATCAAAATTAGTCTCTCTGGTTCCCTTCTGTAAGTCAGAAGACCTCAAAGCACTTGACAGCAGCAGCACATGTGGGTTTAAATGAAAAGTGAGTTGCAGCTATCATGGGAGTAAACAGTAGGTGCAAGGTAGATTTTTTCTTTTCCTTGGCAACTCTGAAAGTTTGTGTGCTTGGATCCATACCTGAAGACATCTATTTTCTATGGGAGAAGCTTGAGAGTTTCTCCTGTTTTTTCTTTCGCACATATTTTGAAGCTGTGATAGATGGAAGACTGCTGGACTTTGTTTCCCAGTCAGACAACAGAGCAAGTGAACAATGTCATCAAAAAAGGGACCAAGCCCCTACAAATAATGTTAAAACATAGAAGATTACTGCAAATAGTTTTAAAGCTATTGCTTTCTTCAGCAATACTTACACTGAATATATATTCATGAAGGGGAGAGCTATAGGCATGCCGCTTACAGGTACAACTGTGACTAGAAAATTTACTCTTCAGGCAGTTGTACATTAATGGTGACTGCCAATGCAAGTTGCTCAAAGGACTATCTTAAAATGTTATCTTGTTCGTATTTCAAGCAATTTTATCAATCAAAGTCAAATTCAACTTGTTGAAAAAGCTGAATGGATATCAAAGGGTCTGTCTTAAATAATGGGAAGTTCTCAGACATACAGCTAGGATAGTGCAGCTGGCTGAATATCCAAGATAATTCCATAAAAAATCCAAAGACCAACCTCTCTCCCCCAATAGCACTTCAGCAGCACTTTCAACTAATAAGATGAAACAAATCTGGTTTACAGGTTTCCAAAAGGTAACTCAGATTAAGGAACAATACTGTTTCTTTATATCTTGGAAACTGAAGGAAAATGTAAGGATTTAACATTTTGGCAAGACTCTTTTTGCAATGTTTGCAATGAGAACAGCAAGTGAAACCTAGAACTCTTATGACAGTTGTGAAATTTTCCACAAAGACCCAAGGAGAAATTCTTTGACCCACTGACAGACCCTGACTCAAAGAATCCTAAGAACATCATTATTTGTGTTGAAGAAAGCCAATGTTTTTTCATCTGTCAGAGCAGTTATAGTAGAGCTGGATTAGAAATAGAACTGAAGTCTATACACCAGCTGCACAACTAACGCAAAACAATTTCAACACTCTTGAGAACCACTTGAGTACCAGCCACCAGGAGGACAAAGCTTTATGGTTAAATTTTCTTACCCTTCCCAGCAATATCACCATGGAGCTCTTCAGAAGAAATCTGCATATTTCTGATGTTAGCATTACCTTTATTTCTTTCAGGCTCAGGTATATTACATCTGTAACAAGTATTCCATGAAAAGTGAAAACTGAAAAAGCAATATTATGCACAGAGGAAAAACAATGCAGTAAATTTGGATTCTCTTCTAATCTTATAATATGAACAAATACTGAAAGACTGAGAAGTAGAAAAAAGAAACTGTGATTTACATATTCATTAAGTAATTTGTATAATCAGAAGATTTAAAAGGTCATTACTGGAACACCTGCCTGATAACAGATGTAGAAGAATGAAAGCCAAAGAACACAGTTTTTATAAAGATGTTGATAGATAAGCAGTTGGCAGATCTACAGGTACCTGCTGTGGCAGCATTAGTCTTTATGGTCAGACTACTGTTGTGGATAGGGTAAATCTTCTGGAATTCATGAATCCATACACATACTGACTTTCCTGTTGCAAAGTCTGACAGTTGTTTATTAAGAATTTGCTTGCTTTTAAATAACGTTGCAACTAAATAAGCTTTTATCCAGTAGGGAAGTTTTATGCACAAAGCTCAAGTATGAATTTGATATAAAGCAGGATGAAGGTAGTTCATTGCACTTGACAGCAGATACAAGGAAAAAAGTCTTAGAATCTCTTACCACAGAAAGAAAACAGCACAGTAGAGGCCTCTTTAGATGGCTGGGGGTACAGCACTGTGCACAAATCTCAAACAAGAATGAAGTCTGTCTTAATTTGGCTAAATTTGTTCATTTCTGTTTCAGTGCCACTCTGTAACATTGGAGACCTCAATAAGGTATTCGCATAGACACATAGTGAGAATCATCTAACTCAGTTGTAGATTACTGTTAGGTATCCAGGTCTAAGCTGCTCACCGTATGATACTTCTAGTCTGTGGCTGAATCATTTTCTGGAGACTCCTGTTAGATCTCCTTCTAAAACAGACAAAAATATAGCATTATAAGCTGCACTCATTTTGGCTGGGATAGAGTTAAATTTCTTCATGGTAACTTGTATGGGGCTGTGTTTTGGATTTGCACTGAAAACAGTGTTGATAATTCAGGGATGTTTCAGCAGTTGCTGAGCAGTGCTTACCCAGAGCCAAGGCCACCTCTGTTCCTCACCCCACCAGCGAGGCGGCTGGGGGTGCACAGGGGGCTGAGAGGGAACACAGCCAGGACAGCTGACCCCAACTGACCCAGGGGACATCCCACCTATGGCATCATGCTGAACAGTAAAACAGGGGGAGGGCCTCAGCTCAGGGACTGGATAGGCATCAGTTGGTCAGTGGTGAGCAATTTTCATTTGTGTCATTTGTCTTCCTTGGGGTTTATTTTCCTCTTTTTTTTTCTCATTTTCTTATAATTAAAAAAAAAAAATATTCTTATTTCTTTTTAATTATTAAGCTGTTTTTATCTCAACCCATGAGTTTCTTCCTTGCTGTTACCCTTACAATTCTTCTCCCATGTGGCAGGTTGAGCCTGGCTGGACACCAGGTGCCCACCAAAGCCATTCTGCCACTCCCCTCCTCAGCTGGATGGGAGGGGGAAAATAAAATGAAAACTTCATGGGTCAAGATAAGGACAGGGAGAGATCATTCACTAAATACCATCACAAGCAAAACAGACTCAACTTGGGGAAATTGGATCAATTTATTACCAATCAAATCAGAGTAGGATAATGAGAAATAAACCCAAATCTTAAAAAACACCTTCCTCCCACCCCTCCCTTCTTCCCGGGCTCAGCTTTGCTCCTGGTTTCTCTACCTCCTCCCCTGCACTGGTACAGGGGGACAGGGAACAGGGGTTGTGGTCAGTTCATCACACATTGTCTCTGCCACTTCTTCCTCCTCACACTCTTCCCCTGCTCCAGCATGGGGTCCCTCCCGCAGGAGACAGTCCTCCACAAACTGTTCCAACGCGAGTCCTTCCCGTGGGCTGTAGTTCTTCACAAGCTGCTCTGATGTGGGTCTCTTCCACAGGGTGCAGTCCTTCAGGAACAGGTTGCTCCAGCGTGGGTTCCCCACAGAGTCACAAGTCCTGCCAGTAAACCTGTAACAGCGTGGGCTCCTCTCTCCACAGGTCCTGCCAGGAGCCTGCTCCAGTGTGGGCTTCCCACAGGGTCACAGCATCCTTCGGGCATCCACCTGCTCCAGCACAGGCATCTGCTCCACCACGGACCCCCATGGCTGCAGGGCACAGCCTGCCTCACCATGCTCTGCACCACGGGCTGCAGGGGAATCTCCACTTCAGTGCCTGGAGCACCTCCTCCCCCTCCTTCTTCACTAGCCTTGGTGTCTGCAGTCGTTTCTCTCACATATTCTCCCTCCTCTCTCTGGCTGCAGTTGCTGTTGCCACGCAGGTTTTGTTTCCCCCTTCTTAAGTACATTATCCCAGAGGTGCTGCCACTGTCACGGATGGGCTCAGCCTTGGCCAGAAGTCACCCCTGTAGCTCCCCCATGCCAAAACCTTGCCACGCAAACCCAATACACCCCAATCCACAGGGGGTGGGGCAGTGAGTGAGCAGCTGTGTGGTGCTTTGTTGCTGGCTGGGGTTAAACCATGACATAAGCTTAGACATCTAATTTACAGGTATTTCAGTTAAGGCAAAATAACATTCTACAATCAGCATTGTATTACAAGTCTTGGGAGAGCATCTGATTGCATTAGAAAATTAAATAAGTGGCTTACATGTCTACATTATCTACATCATTAATATTAATTAATATAAATAGCTAAATATAAACCAATTTAACTTATGTAGTAATAAAGTATATGTTTAACAGCTAGGGCATTTCCCCTGTAGTATACTTGTCTCCCAATCACATTAATATTGAAATTGGGAGGAAGCTCAGGAGATAATCTGGTCGAATCCCTGGCTCAAGCAGGGCTAATTTTAAAATTATGACATGACGCTCAGGGCCATGTCAGTCAAGTCCTGCGCATCTCTAAGGAAGAATGTTCCACAGCCTCTCTGGGCAACCTCTTCCTGTTCCATTTCCAGTTTCAATTCACTCTCATAATGAATTTTTTTTCCTATATCCAACAAGAATTTCTCTTGCTGCAAATTATTTCTCTTGCCTCATAGTCTCTTCATGTGTATCTCTGAGAAAAGTCTTTTCTTAATCCTCATCCAGTAGGTGAAGACTGCAGTAAGCTCACCCTTCTGCACTTGCCTAGGCTGATACACAGGATTAGTCCATTACTGGTAGAAGAGCATGTGTCTTTGTTAAGCATCATGAGATTTGATGCTTCTTAAGTCCAGCTTGTCAAGATCCCATTGAATGGGACAACCCTAACCTTTAGTGTATCCATTGCCGCTCCCAAGATGGTGTCATCTGCCAACAAACCGTGGCTGCATTTCATCCCCTTGCTCAAGCTTTAATAAAAATGTTAAGTAGTAGTGGCTACAGTATCTGCCCTGAGGAATGCCTCTAGTAACAGGTTTACAATCTGACTTTGTAGCATCATTATTCTTCAAAGCTGATGGTCCAGCCAGTTCCCCACCCACCTTCTAAGTCAACCTCTCCAACTGTCCACCTCTCTCCAAGTTGGCTGCACGGATACTACATAAGCCTGTGTAAAAGTCTTAGTTAAAGACCAGAAAGATGGCATTCTCTACTCTCTCTCCTTTCACAAAAGGGAGGGAAACCAGGTTGGTTAGGCAGAGTTTGCCCCGGTGAAGTCACGATGGCTGTTCCCAATCACCATTTTGTCCTTCATATGTCTCAAAACGAAATTAATTTACATAACCTCTAGTAATATGCTCTACAGTCTTCTCAGAGACTGAGGTCACGTGCTACCTCAATTGTAAAGTACGTAAGATACAATTATTAATTGTCTTATAAAAGCAAAGGTACTGATTTTACATTCCCCCCCAATAAGACATTTTTATATAGAATAACTTCTTTACAGCCGTTTGAAAAATCTTTACTGATATATGATTTCTATACACACTTTTATACATTTTGCCTGCTCTAAATGTACAGAGTAACAGAAAACAAACTTTAACTAATAATAAGTTTACAGGATAATCTTTTTTAGAAACCAATACATCTCCCTTCCTTTAATTTTCATGACAAAAGCTTCCACATGGTCAAGGATTCAAAAATTCATCCAAAATTTTCAGAGATGATTCATACAGGAATCTGAAATGGCATAAACGAGTGCATAACAGGATTAGATATGCTAAACGCTAAATCAATCCTCGACTATTTGATTCTCAGAGTACAGCCACAGCATGATTTCTTTGACCAGTTACTTCATATAAGTTTAAGTATTAAATATGCCTTTACAAATTACTTTTGAAATAGCTGAGTTCTTTTATTTCAACTTTTTCATTTTTCTGCTGATCATCTCTAGCTATAGTGTAATCTACAGCAAGCCAGTTTAAATTACTATGTCAATTCAAGCATATTTTCAAATATTTCATCATCTATTTAAAGAACCCACTCGTTTTCTTCACAGCACTTTTACTTTTCTTTCAAATATAGTCAGATCCTTTACTGATAATTCATACTAAAGCCACTTTTCATTCATTTACCTTCTTCCTTTCTCCCTCATTCTTCATCATTTTTCCCCTCACCTGTCGCAATTTTTTTCCAAGCCTGAGCTTTCTATCTTATTTTTATTAGCAGCTGCCTCTTTGAGCTGCATACACACCCGTCTTAGTCCCTTTCTGACTCTCTTTTGCCTCACTCCCTAAACAATCCCAAAGGTCAGCTCTGAAATTTCCATTTGGCAGGCCCTTTTTATTTTCTTGCATTTCCTGACATAGTCACTCACCTAGCTTTTGCAGTTGTATTCTCACACAACTTTTAAGGCTGCTCAAAAGACAGAAGTGGGCACTTTGGTCTTGTGTCAAAACATTATTTCACTGTTAAGCACTGTATCCTTCATGTTACTTTTGTAAAAGATTCTGTCACCTATATTTCTCAAGCATTTTTTTCTCCATATTTTTATTATTATAATCCTAGACTGATGCCCCAAATAGACAAGGTTAATCAGTCATTAATCATGATGAGTTAGGGAATTCATCATGAGACACCAAGACCTGAAACACAAGAGGCACCTCTGCATTTCCATAGCAGTATATTGGATGTCAGGGCTCCCTGAATTCAGACCACCATGGGTGTGTCATAGGCTCCTCTCTCTGCAGTGCTAGATCCACGATGGAACTCAACTGTCAAAATAAGCTAGTATTATAGTGTACTATAAAACTAGTATAATTAGTTAAGTACCGTGGGTTTAGATACAATGCCACCTTGTATAAATTTTATTTTGTTACAATTTAAGGTTAATATAACAATAGATCTGTAAAGCGGGACCATGTACCTGCAGCATATTGGACAACAAGCTGTCATTCCAAATAACTGTATGCCTCCCCAAACAAATTTAAGTCAGTTTTGCCAAGTACCTTTCTAGTGAACTTTTAGATGGGTGGGAGACAAATCATACACAAAGTTATATTGCAAAACAATTCAAGAATCATTATTTACAGATGCAACGAGTGCAATAAAGAGTTTGGGAAGCTAGCTAAACGACAATACTAAAGAAATATCTTCCAGCACAGCCATTAGCTAAATTTAAATTCTACTACCCATATATCAAAATGCTAATTAAAGTAAATACAAAATATTAAGTAAAAGGTATTCTATAGCACATTTTTTTTATAGAGCATGGAACATTTTTCTCTAGCCTCCTAATCACTGCACTGACAGCTTTATTCACATTTTTTTGCTAGGCATAAATATTCACATTTTATAAACTATACTAATGCACGTGTCATTACTCTTGAGGAAATTCTCTCAATATACAATATGTTGTCCAGAATTACTAAGTGCGCTGAGAAGCATTTTTAAAATAATGGACCCACAGGGCCATCTTAAACTGCTAACTCAGCTGGAGAGGGAAGACTAAATTACAATGAAAAGTTTTGCTTCTGAATCAGTGCAACAATTCCTTGTTTAAGGGCAGCACTTTAATTACAACACCAGACAGCATTTTTACTGTTTTCTTTCTTTGCTAATATGTAATAGATTACTTCTAAGTCTAAATTTAAGACACTGGCACAGAATGCCAAGTCTCTTGGGAAATTAAAGAATGTCACAATTTCCTGGTATACCTGGGTATTAAATAAAATAATCCCTCAAGGAGTTATTATGAGATAATGCATTCAGAAGCAAAAGGTAATAATACCATTAAGTATGAGTTAAAAAAACAGTAATGCATTTTAGCACGCATCAGTGAAGCACAGTGTGTTAAAAGTTTGTGCTCAAAGTAATGATCAGAGATCTAGCTTGCAGCATACCATAACTAAAATTTTGGTGTTTGATAAGTAGAGCAGGATGATTTTAGTTATACATTAGCACACTAGCACCAGGGCAGTACACATGGCATGTCAGAAGATGCTAGAGGCCCAGCCTGGTCCAACATTATGTCTGAGAAAGTGCAAACACACTTTAAATTAGTCAAGCAAAACGTAATCATTGAAGAACCTCCTCCTAACTTTTTTGCAGCATGAATTCTTTTACCCTTCTGGAGAGAAAGAATCCCCAACAGACCTGTACAAATACAAATCTTCGCCAATTCTGCAAAGCTGTGTGATACCTTCTGAATTTTGTTATATTGCAATTCTAATCCTTGTTAAAAATACCTCCCATCAACATGTTCATATTTCTAATTTTTAATTTTATCTGCAGCTATCTCTTGGTTTTATATTACACAAAGGTAGCCATTCATATATCATGACATTAAAACACTGTGTAGCATCTTATGCTCTATATCTGCCCCAACTCCTAGGTGGGTTTGTCCCTGTTCACTGGGCAGAGATGATCATATAGATTCATAAAGCCATTATCTGTGTTCTTACTGAAATTTATAGTCAGTAGTGCACTCAAGTGGCAGCAATTATTCATTTTAATTTGCCTATTTATTTAATCATGTTAAGATTTGCTTTAATTTCTCAGCCTTTTCTACTGTCTTGATTAAAAGAAGTGCAAACTGAATCATGATATTCTGCTACTCACCTTTTTTTTCCAGATCATTATTATTATTTTAAAAAATATTCTAGTGGAACGCTTGGTAACCCAATGTTAAATGATTTTGTGTTAAAAAAAAATGGGTTTTGTTTTATTTTGTTTCTAAGCTAGGTCCAAACCAAAATAAATTTGTTCACAGCCGAGCAACTAATTAAAACAATCTACCCGGGAAGCAGAGTCACTCTGAGTTTTACACGTCCAATTATGTTATGTTTTTGGTTGTTTTTGTTTTTTTTTTTTTTTTTGTTTTTTTTTCCCTAAAATAAGGTGGTTTTTAGTTCTTTATCAATTTTATATTACATGAGCACAGTGCCCTCTGTGGAAAACACTTAAATTCTTGACAGCAAAATTTCTGTTTTCTATTTACTTATGCCAGAAAGTGGAAGTGAAGGGTGTATTGGTATTGATTTCCCCCTCCCCCGCTTCTTTCTTTTTTAAAAATAAATCTAATTTTTGACGATACATAACTGAAGTGGCTCATATGTATCATAAAACTTTCTGGTCTAGATCTTAAGATTATGTATCTCTTTAACTAACAGTTAAATAATACACTTGGCTCTGGTTTAATAGCAGATTTAAATGAATAAATGCATATTTTGTTAGCAACAACACAGCTACTCTATTGTGTTGTCCTTAATATTAGGCTTTTTTTTTTTTTTTTTCTTCCCATGGAAGAATCCAATTTACCTTCTGCATTTCTGAACCACTTCCAAATGGATATTTACTGTACAGCCTTCTAAAGTTCTACCACTGCCAGAACATTTAGTGTAGATATTGGGCTGCCTGGTACAACTCACATGCAAACTCTAAGGATCTGAAGTATCATAATAGGAAAGAGATGTTTTTTAAATTTAAAGTCTGTCTATTCTATACCCATTGTTTGACTGAATAGTAAGGAACATCAATTTGAAGAAGTAAAGGTTGCTAAGGGCCTCTGAACGTTCAGGCCCCTGTGATGCATTACTAACTTCCTCAGTATTTTTGGATGAATGTCCATAACCATAGTCTATTTTCTTCATATTTTTAATGTCTACTTTCTAACCCCAGGGACAGGTTCAATAACTAGGCAGAAATCAAATGTTAACAAATTTTTAGATTTAAGCAAGTTAGAGACACTCAAGGCTGAAGTATTCATCATGATTGTTTATCTTAGGCAGGTCTGAAATAAATGATTGCAAATACAGTGTAGACAATCATTTTCAAGATACTTATCCCAAAAGATCTAAAAGTCAACCAGATATGACACCATTAAATTTTTATCATCTGCATAGGTATGGATTCATATGCCTAATAGCAAAACGTGGGAGAAAAATCTTCTAGTAATAACAGTGAATAGACTACTTGCTTTGTTCTACACCTGCTGCTAACAGAAATGATTTTCAGAACTGAATCCTGCAATATACAGGATCAAGTCATAACACATTCAAATTAAATGCAAAAAACCCAAATTAAATATGTAAAGATTGAAATCACAGAAAATGTATAGGCAGGAAATTTAAGTGTGCTGGGCTCAATACCTCATAATTTTTTTTTATTTTTTTTTTCCCCACACTATTTTAAACCTTGCAATCATTCAGAACACTAACTGTATTATGTAAGTATAAAACAGCAAATTATTGCAGAGGGGTATAGGAGGGGTTAGTGTTCATTTCCCACAGAACACTTACCTTTCAGTCCTGCTAGATTGTTTTGTGGCAGCGTCCTTGAATGTTATCAGTTTCCTCTGAATGACAGCTGCAATATCCTTTAGAATTGAAGTTTTGTGCTTACCTATTTGAAATAGGATTATGTTGAAAAGTTGGGCAAAATTAACAATTTATCAAAAAAACATCTACCCCTGCATATTTTAACAGAATATTTTTTAACAAAAGATTGTTTAATGAAAGGTAAGATATTAAATTAGATTCTCACTGCCTTGGTTAATTACTGTGTATTTCAACAAATCAGAATATAGAGATGAACCCTATGAGTTAGCAGTTAGCATTTTATACTCACTACACAAAGATCAAAAGTCCAAAGCTGAACAACATAATTTACAAGCGATATAACCTTAAATCTTGTAGAAAAATTTAACTTAACAGCATGAAGAAAAGTGCCTGTTTCATTGTATAAGAACTCAGCTTTCAAAATGTAGCACATAAAAAAAGGAAATAAAAGAACAAAAATGGTTTGACTGACCTTTAATTGTAATCACAATGCAGACAGTAGCTGTTAGACTAAAAATTCCTCCAATTTCTTCAGAGAGAATGTATTCCATTAATTCATTTAAAAATGACCTAACAAAAAAATAAAGCAAAAATATATTATACGTCATGCTTCTTTCAAAATAGAACTGAACAGAACAAGTTTGGGATTATGCTACCCTGCCACCAATAGCTTCAAAGATACCATGCAGAACAAGGCAGTGGTTATTGGGTAATTGAAGACTACATGCTGCTTCTGGAACTGAGGATGTCCGAGTCAGGAGAATGGTAAATTGCTTGGGAAGAAAATAAAAAAGTTTGTACACGGAGTAAGTAGCCTATTAAGAGAAATGAAGCTTGTGGATTATTTTGGGAAAGTCAATCCATAAAAAACTACTTGTTCTAGTGAAATTTAACTTGTGTAGTTTATATTAAAATTTGTAACTAAAATGTCTACTGAAGTTTACTAAAAAAATATGACTCCAATGGTTTGTTAGTAATGACTCATGCCTTTAAAACTATTACTACTTCTAGCCTGATTAGAAACTGAAGTTTAATTAACACTTAGGTCTAAAATGCATATCTCAAAAATTAAAATAGATTTCTAATTACAAAACAGTGAAAAATATTTCTAACTAAGTATAACCCCTAAACACTTCCAAACTACGCTTTAGATATTGAAATTATGGATGGAATAACAGAACCAAAACAACTGTTCATTGAGATAAATACTAACTAACTCAATATGTATTTTAAGAGCCTCACTTTTTGCAAGAGATGATAGTTTTTACCAGCAAACTTCAGAGTTGTTTCAGGACATATATCAAGTTAGGAAAAATGAAACAAGGGAGTCAAGGAAGAGGTCTAGCAATCAAACTAAACTGCAATATGGAATAAAGCAATACTACAGAATGAAACCACTAATTACTCATTATAGTGTTTATGGTAAAAATAACAAATTTAACTCAGAAGCAATTATCAAAACCTGAGAAAAATAAAAGAACAAGAGGGGTAAAGCAGGAGATGGACAAGATCTGTAAGCCTCACACTCAGAGCACAAAACTAAATGCTCTGTGAAGAACTAAAGGGGAAACTGAGAGCAGTAGATGTTACAATAACTTTCCCTATTTCAAAATACTTCTGGTAATAAATTCTGTTACAAAAACAAAACACCATAAATATCCAGTTAATTGTTCTTTGGGCTTTTATTGTGATATCAAAATGAAATACGTAGTTAAGAAAAGAACTAACCTCCACCAGTGATTCTGTAAATAAGCTTTGTAGAAGCTCAGATGTTGCTTCAAAGAGCTGAGAAAGATGAAACCTCTTTAGGTTTTGAAATTAGTGTTATGAAGTTGCTCAAGCATTGCATTAATTTCATGAGATCATTGTGGACTAATCTGACCAAGTATTAATTCCATTTCATACTGCTCTTAAATTGCTAATTGATAGTATTCCAATCAGAGTTTGACTTTATTGTTATCCCTGTTTAGGTCAGTAAGCACACTCTTTAGTTCCATGAAAGAACACTGTAATTTCATTAACCTGTAATAAGACTCAATGCAGCTGCCTTTCCCCACCCCCCTCTCAAGGGCCACGTGAGCCTTCAGGCAAAGATAAACTCAAACAGAACAATAAGCTATTTACAAATACATGTAAGTGAGATAAGTAATTGATTCCTATACAGATAGTTCCCTACTAAAGGAAAGGATACTCACACAATTGGTCAGATAATGCCAAGTCACTCAGTATTATCACTGATATGGGGACTGAAATTCAGTGCTAGAGATTGACTAAGTATAATTGAAAATATAATAGATGCTGCAGAATCTGGTACAAGATTGTTGTGTGTTCACAGAACAGAAGCTCACATCAAACTCTGTAATGTTAAAGGAAACACAGTGGCGTGGAAAGATGATAATTTCTGAGATATTGAATGATTTACTACTGGACTCTGATTATAGCCTATCAGTACAGATCCATAAAGGAAAACTGCCTCAAAAGTAGTCTCAGTCCTGAAGCACCAGTGGAACCAGATGTATATTAAATCCTGACTTAGATCTTCTTTGAAAAATAAATATCAGAAGACACATACTTGTTTATCAAAGTACTCATAGAAACAACCTGATCCAAACTAGCAGTTTTCTCTGTCACAAAGAGACAAGATTCAACCTGACCATTACCAGGAAAAGTTTCAGAGGAACTCATTGAATTTCTGCATCTCTTTTCAAAAGACATATGTAAAATAATTGTGTTTCACTAAAAGAGCACCTTGATGGACAGCTGCTGCCTCACAGAAGAACATGATTGGATTAGGAAACCTACTCCTGGACTCTGAGCTCTTTGTTGTGCAAATTCAACTAGAGAAGGATTGAGAAGAAAAAAAACAAAAACACCACCTCATTAAATGCCTGTCAGATGAGGAGGTTAGAATAGAAGGTAGTTGTGATAAGTCATGGAGAATGATAGGACTTCTAAGGAATACACGTTAGTCCCATCATCATTTAAAATAAGTCTGGTGTGTATTGTCATGTAAATAAAAATTGAATATGAACAACTTAGCAAAATGAAATTTCTTTATAACAATTTAGAAGATATTCAGGGTACCCACTAAATATATAAACAAACAACTGTTTAATTTTTTAAAAAGATAATAACATAACCCTACTTTTGGTGGCTTCTAGGACTCAGATGCTTTAAAACTATTTTGAATTTTGTGATTTTAATATGTCTATAGTACATTTGTCACCTCATTGCAGACATTCAATTAAAGAATTAATACTATTTCTGGTAAATACTTTATCTTATCCAAATACATTTATATTGAGGGAACTAATATTTATAAGTATCTTACGAAAGAAGCAAGGCAAGTTCTAGCATTAAAGAACTCATTTAGATGAACAGTCTTGTAAATAAGAAGCATGCTAAGAAGCAGTCAAAAAAATGGAACCAACCTCCCCAATCAATATGTACAAGCAGTATGCCAAGAGGAAGGGATTATGAAGCAGTGCAGGTAAATTTAGTGAGCATCTAGTTCCTCAAAATTTATTTGAATTTAGAAATTAAAACTTTATTGAGAAGATATAAACTGCCCTATATCAGCAACAACCTTGAACAAATTAATGTAGAAACATTTACCTGAAAACATTAACTGACTTCTTAATTATGGCCATTAGACTGCTTGAAAGAGGAGGAAGGTCTGACGTAGTCTTTGGTATAGTTAAGTCTTTATCACTGGAAGCCTAAACACATAAAAAGTCAACATCTGTTTTAGATCAAGAAATATATGTATGCAGAAAACATCAAAGCAAATATGTATTTTAATAATTGCACTATACAAGACCTATTCTTAAATAATTAGAAGAAAAATTCACATGTGTTCTTTGAATAGCCTTAATCCAATTGTGTTGTGTCCAAATAAACAAATTTAAATTAGAAAGGCTAAAAGTAAGACAAATAAACAGTATTTGTATCAAGGCAAATATTCTCTATAGCTGTTCCGAATAGAAGTTTAATTTAACTACACTGTTGGTCAATATTTATAAAGCCACAGCCCACTAAACACAAATTAGTGTCCTTTGTGTCCTTAAGTATGCATACATAGTTTCTAAAAATAACTTAGGTGACAGTGATTTCCTGATTCCCCTTATCAGCTGTTTTCGGTATCAAGTTCTGAATAGCATGGAGAGTATTTAGTTAGAACTGAATTTTGATTTACTAGTACAATAACCTGAGGGCAGAGAAAACCCCAGCTCAGATGACTTACTGCAATGAACATTCATAATCTATGAGTATGAATCTGCAGTATCATTCAAGACCATAAACTTTGATTCTGCAGCATCTGTAAAGGGCATGTTCTCATCCCACAGCCCCTCAGCTGATACATTAATATTTGCAGGTAAATCTCCGGTATTGTTTCAGTTCCTTCTATAACACAGAATCTTAGAAGCAGCTCTGCTGTACTCGGTACTTTCTAGCAACTGTTTTTTCTGACATATTTGGCAACCACAATAAGAGTACAGTTGCTGCTAAAAAATCTCTGCTTTTCCATGTTAGTTCTCAAAGCTTTCAATCTTACCAGCCATATTTTCTCCTAATACTACATGCATTCAGAACATGCGTTGGGAATATTACCCTCCTCCTTCAAGGACAGTAATGGTGCCTTAGCACATAAAATAACCTCTACATATTCTTTTCAGAATTAGAGTTTCTTTCTTTACTTTCCCGAGAAACTCGGATCAGACATTTGGAAATCCTCTAGACAAAAAACAGAGGAACCAAAAAGAAGATGCAATGTGGGAAATGGATCTGTATTAAAGCAGAGAATGCATAAGTGATCAGTGCCAAGCGAGACACCAGCCTGCTTTGGAACAGGATGACAGAACCTTATGGGACAGTTCCAGAATAGGGCACTGGAATCTTTCAGAGATCAAGTGGTTCACTTCTTAAGTTCCTTAGTGCTGGGTGAGACAAAGTAAGGCATGTTTAGGACAACCTCCCTTCCTCCTCATTTCCTTCACCTTTTATTGCTGAGCACAACATCATAAGGTATGAAATATGCCTTTGGTCAGTTTGGGTCAGCTGCCTCAGCTGTGTCTCTTCTCAATCTCTTGCCCACCCATAGCCTGCTTACTTTTTTTTAAGGCAGGTGGTGAAAGGAAGGAAAAAAGCCGTGACACTTTGTAAGCATTGTTCAGCAACAGCCAGAACTAACTGGTATGTCCTCAACACTGTTTTAGCCACAAAAGCAAGCCACAGCACCATATCGACCTGCTGTGAAGAGAGTTAACTCCTTCCCAGCCTGACCCTGTACAAAAGCACATACAGATAATAACGGAAAAGCCATATCATTAATCTCCAACGCTGCCTAATTTCCAAATTATTCTGTCAGGGGTAGATAGTGAACTAAATATCAGGACAACTCCGTACTTACACTATTGTCAACACACTGTATTTGTAAATCTGAGATACACCGTAATATGAAATGATGGTCAATAAAATATCCTGTTTGTTCCACACCAACACAAACAAAATCTTCATCTGCAGTACAAAGATCACACCTTCTGAACATAGCTTTCTTGTTCCAACATGACATTTAAAAAGCAGTAAGTGTAAAAAACACACAAATAAAAAATCAGCATTAACTTTACCTTCTGTAGCACAAAATTTATCTCTGCTACTGTGGCAGCCAGGATAGTAGAGAGTACACCATGGTGAACTGCTGGGCAAGATGAATGCCAGCACTGGACTGCATGTATGAATTCTCCAAGAGGCACTTGAATAGAGTTCTTCAACTAAAACCAAAGAAAAACAGACCAGTTTTTACAGATTTCTTGAGTATAATTTAAATATTTCAGCAAGCTTCTCTGTGAAGAACTGCAGATGATACCTTGAAATCTATTGAGGTATTCTAGTCACCTGTGATCAGAGGGGGGATCAGCAACATGTTTGGGAAGTCTACTCATAAATTTGAGAGAAACCAACAAAACAATGGTTGTAACAAAGAACTGAATGTTTTTCAGAAGTCCTGAAAAGCAGATCATCAATTTTTCCAGTGATCCACCCATTTCATTATTATCTAGTCTCTGTTATAAAATATAAGAAGCGAACTTCTGTGAAGATAAGAGAGTTCTGAAGAACTTTAGGACATCATACATATTTGAAGGTGGTATAATTCAGGCTGAAAGAAAGAAATAACAACAATTTCTCCTCACTCCCAAGATCATAGTATATATAACTGAATTCTTTGCTCTGGATTGAGAAAGTTAATTTAATTGCAGATAAGACTAATAATTCATGAATACTAGAGTAGCTCAGGATCATTGGTAAGAGAATGCATTGTTCTCCAATTTACTAGTTTTTCTGTCGTGATACCAAGAATGGATTAAAAAAGTCACATTGATAACGAGGAAACTTAGGAAATTTAACTGAAAATCTAATCAGATGTCAACTTGAATAACAACCTCAAAGTGTCTAACACATTTACATAAAATGTACAGATTCATCTGCACAGGAGGTAGCAATGTCAAGTGTAATAGGATACCTGAATCCCTTCTTCCTGCTGGTTTTTGAGTCTGCATGCCACACATTCTAAAACTTTCTGGAAGACGGTCTGTACAACATGGAAGAGATTTGCCACTTCATCTGTTTCAGTATTCTGAGTTACAGAAGCTTCAACAATTTCTTTTAGAGCATACAGTAACACTGGAGCACAAAAGCCACCTCTCTCTAGAGAAAGAGATAAACTCCACGATATAAAAAAATTGTAATGAGATATTCTTCAGATACAAGCTTACAATGAAACTCAGTTATACACCATAAATAGCTATAGTTTACAAGTATAGATGATATATTCAGTTTTTGTGCATCCTTAGCTGAAATTTTCATACAGTTCAATCAATATTTTAAGTATAAATGCAGTGTTGCTTCCAATCCTTGAAGTATACAGATTAAAATTGCAGATTTCTTCAGGAATTTAGCTCTAACTCTGTCTGTACTGTAGACATAACTTCTCAAATGTGAGCCAAATTTAAATAGTGCTACAGTGTTGTCTCCTAAGGCATACTGATATACATAAATATCAATATATATATACCATTTTTTATATATATAAAAAGCCCCTGAATTACATAGCAATAACTGGAATCTAAGAGTAAGGAAGAAACATTAGTTATCAACAGTATTTTTCTGGTTTGGTTCTCTGCTTGCTTTCAGTTTTTTGAAAAGCTGCTGTGACCATATTATTGGTACTAGTTAGCATAAGCGGTAAAAACCATTTTTTGGGAAACAGATTCCAAAATGCTAAAAGCAACAGTTCTGCTAATATAAGAAAAGTCAGCTAAGCATCTACAGAGATGTTGATGTTAGTATAAAATAACGTACCTGTTTGTATAACTGAAAGAGCCAAATCTAAAAGGTGTGCTTGAAACGTGAGATTTCCAAGGCCAACCATTATGACATCTTTACATACTGTCAGGTAGGCCTAGAAAAGTATATGAGAAACAAAATTTATATAAAGTAACCATTCAGTAAAACCTAAAAATAATAAAACCACAAAACCTTAGCCAAGTTGCCCTGAAAGCTGGTGCATCTACTTGGAGTTACATATACAAGGAGTATATATGATACGCATACTAAATTTTTCATCCAGAGGAAAGAAACAGTAGCACAGAAAACACACAAAAAACCTATATCAGGAACAACTACAACACTTGTTTGAGTTTACTATCTCTTTATACCTTTCAAAAAGCTGTTTGGCTGTAGCAGCAGGATTTAGTACAAGACTGATCTCCTCGTTACTAAATTCCCAGGTAACTCACACCCCCTACTCTCTGCCGACTTCCAAACATATGTTCTATGGGACTCAGCACTAGAGTGCAGCGTAATGAATTTCTCAGGGTATAATTTTACCTATTTCTTTTGGGAAAGTGGGAAGGCAAGAAAGGAAGGAAGCAAGCAAGCAAGCAAACATGATTAGATCTAAATCCTCTCTCATAATCAGACCACCTTCCTGGTCCTCTAAGTCATCCTCTGTTGTGCTATTCAACACAACGTATGCAGCTGCAGTGATTTTTTCATTTCCAGGACTTTCTATCCTGCAAACAGGCTATTAAGGACTAGCATATACCCTTGTTTTCAGCAACTAATTTTCCTCTCCTTTTCATAACTGAAATTCAGTGACAATTTTAACTCTATTTTAATGCACTTTTCAAAACAGCATAAACATTGCCTTTATTTAATATGGGGGATGAGAGACTGAGAAAAGGAATTACTTGTTAGAAACCTAAAATTTGGGAGAGCCAGGTTAAATCTCCTGCTGTGCTAGAAATTTCTTGAGTGGGCATTTTCACAAGTGTGAAACGTAAAACATGTTCCATCCTCACTTCAACAGATATGATGAGAGTATATATTATGCACTGGTAGTTAAAAACATTCTAGATAAGAACAAGATATTGTTGACTCCAACTACATGATTTAATTGCTAGGGTATGTGCAATTATATTTATATATTTTTGTATTTATAACACAAAGTTTATAACTAAACTCAAAGCAATTTAAAAAAAGCATGTGATTTTAAGCAAGGGAATAGCAAAAGCACAAAATTGCAAGCTCATAACAAGCAGGACTGTGTTTCATTAGATCATTCACTTGTTCTGCTACCAGAACACCAGTACACTATGATTCTCAGTATACAATTGCTACATATATGGCTTTTCAGATCAGCAGTAGTTTGATTTATATTGTAAGAGACCTCTAACCTGGATAATTAATTCAGAAACATTACTGCGTTTTGAAACGCCACCCTCTTGATCACTTGCTCGAAGAAAAGGTAAAACTTGACTTTCTATCCAAGCACCTGTCTCCTTCAGAAATAAGAGGTAATCTTTTTCTTCTTCAGAAAACTGGGGGAAAAAGAAAAAAGTTTACCAATTGTGTTTCCAATTCCTTTGGAATTTCCTTATACTGTCAGCTGTAATTCCAGTTTATACTGAAAAGGTATAACCATACCTTGTTCTGAAGATGAATGCTTAACCTGCAAAAGAGACTGAAGGCTCTTAGGCCAGTTGCTTGATTGCAGCTATCAGAACCTGCAACAGTTGCTTTCAGAACTGAGCCAAGAACCTCCTGAAATATCAAGGTTTACATTTATATTTTCCAAAAAATCCTTTCAAATGTTTCTTTTCTCAATAATGTTTCTTTTCTTTTAAACAAAAGATTTAAAAAACCCCAAAACAAACAAAAAAAAAAACCCAAGCCACACACAAAGAATCCCAAAACCCAAAAAACCAACAGGCTTACTTTCAATTACTTTCATTTTGCAATGCCATAACTGTTTTTCAGACTATGCCTTATACATACATTCCAAAAGTCAGATCCCTTAAAAATGCTCAATACTTGATCACAAAAATTTTCAGACACCTAAAAATGACAAGCTGCTTGCTTAAAGTCTGCCATCCATAAACAATTCTGAATGAATATATTTCTAGTTTAGAATATTTGTTGGAATTATAAATCAAAAGGAAAACTTTTATAGAGGGGAAGAGAGGATCATGAATCTTATTTATTCTTTCAGGCCTTTAATTTACTGAGGCAATATATGATGTTAAGCAGTCTTTTGTAAGCACAGTTTATGGTGAGGAGAATACTACCTTTGCATCACTGAGAATTTTCAAAAGCTTTTTCAGTTTCTTTTCAGGAACAGAGAGCAGGCAATCACGATTAACAGGATGAGTCAGTAAATATTCAATGTAATCAATTGCTAGTTCTGGCTTCGATTCATGTGTTACACAGATACGTACTCGTCGTTTAGATGTCTGAACACTCTAAATTAGAAGAAAGCACAAACCCAGTACAATACTGTCAGTACCTCACTTTACAACTAATTCCAAAGCAGAATCATATGGCATTAAAGAGGCTTCTTCGATTACAAAAAAAAGAGAAAAAATTTTATAATAAAATTTTATAAATTTAATGAGAGACATGATGTCTTTACGTAATCTACCTATTCCTTAATTCTTTGACATATGCATATGCACACCTTTCTTGGGGTTAGCGTGTCAGACAACCAATCACAGGCTAATTCTATAATATGTCCCACTTGACCCCAGCGACACATGCAGTCTATCAGGGTAGAATATTTGCTTTGGTCAGCTCCACTGTCAAGATTTCTGAGTTTGGAGATCACACCACAGCTTAAAAGAAAACAAATAAACAAACAGAAAAAAGAGATGCATTAGCTTTACACCCATAAGTGCAGAAATAATTCAAAGAAACTCATCATATATAATACCAAAAAAGATCCATCAGTGGCTCAAAGACATATTTGCACGTCACAAATTTTACTAACTTATCGAATTTTTTTAGAGAATTAATTTATCCAAATGGTCATTTAATATATGAAGTTCTGAAAAATTAACAAGAGATTTCTTGTCATTCATGTTTTGATTTTAAAATAGTACCTGAATGTAGGTATAGCAGCAGGGGGCATAAAAGATGCCAGAATAACCAATGGAGCCATGCAACGCTCATCCTAGGATAAAAAGATAAACTATATGATGCACATGTACAAGTACATACATGCACACAAAACTAAGAAGCATACTGAAAACTATAATTAAATTGTCTCAAATTAAGTATTTCTGTTTTTTCCCCTAGAAATGGAACTGGTGCACCAGATACTACTGGCCACAATCAAAAGATAGCATGTGGAACAATAGATACCATTGGCCACAATCAAAAGATAACCGTGGAACAATTAAACAGATTAAGGAGACTGAAAATATTAAAACTACTGATTTTAATTGTTTATATCGAACCCAAACAATAAATAAGTTCATCAAAAGATTGTTAGAGACTAGAATGAAATTAGCAGAAACCAATCACAAGAAAGTGAAAAAGAAGCCTCAGCTGCTTCCGCTGCCTGTTCCAGCATCTGGATCATAGTAAGAAGCATTGGGGGTGGAAGTTTGTGGGGTTGGAAGAGTCTGTGGGGGAAACGGGTTGAAAAACAGGCGGACTCTCATGTACACTGAGTATTTATTCTGCAATGGCACATTTTCAGTTACTCATTTCCAAAAGTTCCAAAAACATTCAAAAGAATGGAATGCTACAAAAACACCACAAGGAGAGCAATATATCACATAAGTATTTCTGTGTTGACTATTTAGATAATGGTTCATCAGTCAGATACTGCAGTTGAAGAATAGCTTCTACCCATCCATGGAACCCCAAGAAACTTGCTATTGCTTATGGCTTATATCAACAATGAAAAAGAATAATTAATGCCGTGCAAATAGATAACATATGAAAGCATCTGAAGAAAACACTACTTGCAGGAAAAAAATCTAAGTTTTCCTTACCTTAAATACTTTAAAATATTCAGGAAAGACAGAAGCAAATTTTCTGATAGTATAATCTTTGGCATCTTCATTGTGATCTAGTGCTTTATGGATACTTCTCCAGAGAATTACAGTAATCTCCAGTAAACTTGCCATGCTGGCCACATCATTTATTGACAACACATTATTCAACACCTGAAATACAAACACTTAGATGATACTATGTATTATATTCTCAAACATAAATTTAGATTAAAATAAGGTTTCCAAAAAACCTGAAAATCATTCTATTAATTTCACAAAGTCAATGTTTGTTGTAAAACATCAACTCCATGATTCAGTTGAGTCTATAGACATATAACTTGAATCATCTTGAAACATTAATTCTTTGAATAACATAACTGCAAAATAAACCAATTTACTGGAATTAGGGAAGTATTCATTTGAAGTATTCTTCGTGTTCCTTCTATCTTATTCTAGCTACTTCACCAAATTTCTCCTATTGCAGGGGAAGAAAACACCGTAATGGCAATTCTCCTCTTCTAATTCCACAGATGCCCAAGTGCTTTCTCTTAGATTTATGTCATATCAGTAACTGTGTCAAATTAAGCACCACAGAAAAAGCGTTACCAGAACTTAAAGTGGACTTTCTTACACTTGTATTCTCCTTTTCACTTTCATCATGATCATCACTATCATGAGGACTCTCTTTCACTGCTTTCTGGATGCAGGCATTCAAGCAGCGGCGAATAGTAAGCATCAATTTAGCTACATTTAAATATAATAAGAATAAATTAGACATTTACTATTTGTTAAGAATGTTGCTAGTAAATACTTCTAATATAATGCCAAAACACCAGTCTGAAAGAGCAGGCAACAGAACCAGAAATAACTAGGAAAAAATTTCCTGGTAAAAGGAAATGGAAAAAATATGAAAATGTTTTATAGCTTCAAGTATGAAGAAGTAATGGTAACATTATCATCAGGTTCTACAATTTTATTGTTAAAAAAGCCTACTAATGAAAAAACCCCAACCACCACCTTATCAAACCAGAATCAGAGGAAGCTCCCACAATTCCTACATTCATCTGGCATAGCCATTAATTTAATGACCTATGTTCAATAATACATACCCTCCACAGTCAATTCCAATTATTTATAAAAGATGTAGTAGCCTAACCATTGCATTCATTAATGAGGAACTCACCTCTAGATAAAAATGAAAGGGTTATGTCCACTCTCATGAAAGTATGACTGGCTGAAATACACTACCACATGCTAGTTCAAAACTACCTTACCAAGGTAATCAATCAGGAGTCAATGCCTTGGGCATTTTACCCAAGTCACTCGATGTTGACTACTTTGTTTTTATAGTATCAGAACTCCTCTGAAACAAAATTTTAATGATTTTACTTGCTTCTTTGTTCTTTACCTGGTTAGTTTTATAAAAAGCAGATATACTCTGGGCAGTACCTACCCTATTCACTGAAAGTTTCTGAAGCTTTCATTAGGAAGGAAAGCTTTGTATATTTTCTCTGAGCAACTTGAAAATACTACTATCCATAAATCCCAGATAACCAGATTATCAGACATAAATATTTTTCACCTTCTATAGAATCTTCCAAAAAGATCTCAAATCACTTGAGGAGCTATTTATTTCACTATTTCTGCATGGTAAGACTTAGATAGTTTCCAGGTATATGTGAGGAGAAAGCGGAAAAGAGAGACCAGGTAACAACACTGGCTAGAGAGTGTACTACATCACCTAAGAGCAGGAACAAAAAGCTTTGATCTCTTCAGTGTTGAAAAAGCTTATGACTGTTATCAGCAGGGTTCATTGCTGGTGTCAATAATTTCAAAACCCACAAACTAATACTATACTAGGAACAAAAGCTCTAGCAACAACATATCACTGTTACAGAATTAAAGAAGCTATTACATGGTGTGATATTAGTATTTCCAAAGACTCATAAGGTTTTGTACTTTACCTATATTGGTGGGGGCAGTATATTCATAAGCATATTGATAGAACTTTCTAGCTGCTGCTGAATTCATCTGGATTAGAGTAACACAGCGCTCACACCACACATCCTCGGGTTGGTTAATGGGAAAGAAAGAGTTGAATAAGAGATTCACTATGCGTCGTGACACAGGCCGTGAATCAACTTCAAGACAAGCCAGAAGATGCTCCACGGGACAGATTTTCCAGAACTTTTTAAAGTAAGAAAAATATATTAAAGTAGTTAAAAAAATAGAGGAAAACCGAATCACCTTTATTAAATGTTGTCCACATCAGAAGTATTAACTAATATAAATAGCATTTACCAGAAAAGCATGAGCATTTTTAATTTTTACTAAAATAACAGCATTTACTTGAGGTCACAGATTGCTGCAACAACACTGCTTTACTGTTCTGACACACATCTAAAACTCCCACTATCTCTGACAGACTGGAAAAATTCTGGTTCAAGCAGTTCCATCTCAGTATACCTGCAATGCTAATGCAATTCCATCGGTATAGGGAAGAATTATTTACTCTACAAGGATATCACCACAAAATATAATTTGTCATTTTGTGCCATGTTTTATATTCTCATCATAAAACAAAGTAGGACCAAACTACCTACAAGTACAGTATATGCTCTAAAAACCTGTATAGAACAAGACCCTTTCTAAAACCACTGCAAACCAGAAGAGCATCCTGACGTTAGTAGAGCTCTAGCTTATTTGCAACACAGTAATCAAAGGCTATGAAATTCAGAAAGAAGAAACAGCTTGTTATGCCAGCAGTAATACCACTTACATTTGTAAGTACTCTTTTAGAGTACTACCACCTATTTATAACTACGAATTGCCTACTCTAGTTATCTCCAATAATCTTAACAGACAGAACCAATTGTCTGTAAAAAAAAGTAAAGGTACAGCTGCACATTGTTAATCTGCGGAGATGTGCAAACATTGTAGGACCCTGCTGGAAATTTTTCATGCTGACAGTCTGAATGATAATACCTTGCACTTGCAGTGTTTGTCTTAATTTCACATTTTCTGTGGACTTGCCTAATCAATGCATTGAGGTATGTATTATGGAAGTACCAAACTTGCTGTTGCATTATTGTAATCCTTATCCTGAATCTACGTGCAAGAAGCTGAAAGCTCTCAATTCCAAAATCGCCTCCCATCTGTCTTGTCTTCTGAGCATATTTGGGGAACTTGGAAGGTACTGTGATGGTCTAATCTCAGTATGTCTTTGAGGTTCTGACATCAGATATGGAATGCACACATTATGCACGTAAGTAATCCTTGTGTTAGGGATAATTGTGTTCCTTGAGCACTGAAGCCTTAAAAATCTGACAAGCCAAGTATTTATTTAATTCTCTCCTGAACAACAGAGAGAGATACATCTCACTTCACATAGTCTATGTGCCTAGCACAAGATAAGCATGTCCTAATAATTAGGCTTAGCAAGAGAATAAAACATGATCCCTATAAAAAGATACCAGAATCCTGAAGGACACGCTCACAAAAGACAAGTTATAAAAATAGGTAAATAAAAGTAAAAAAGCAATTCAGTAAAGTCATTAAGTGTTTAGAAGGTAAGAGAGGCCTGGCTTGATCTAGTCAGCTGGAAGGAAGTGTGGCTGTACCTACTGCTCTGCTCTGGCACGGCCACGAGAGGGCAGGGAAGACAGAAACATGCTGAGAAAAGGTTGCTGAGTGCTTGTGATACAAGAGCCACAGGAAAAAAAGGAGACAAGCACAGAGAGGCCACTGGACCAACTAATTGTCCCCAACTAGTCAAAAATGTGGGGGAGAGGAAAAGGAGAAGAGGGTACTTGGCTCAACTAAAAAGGACACTTTCCAGCATGCCTATAAAATCTCTGGTGTAGTAGTATCCAGACACAGCACTATCTCCTATGGTTAACTTTCATGGGAAAAACAGCTATGGAAAGGCTGAAAGCTCACCAGGACTAGTCACAATCTCTTTGTTTATTTATTTAAAAAGATTTTTCATGGACACCATGATTTCAACAGTATTCATAAAAACACTGGAAAAAAGTACTTCTTTACTACTATCTAGTTTGTATCAAAACCTTAAAAATGAACATAAGTGACTAACAGCAACAGAATGCACAAGTCTTAGAAATAAACTGTTATATGCTTAAATATATGAAGAAGGGAAAACCTGAAATTAAGAGTATTATTACATTAAGCATGTATTTTTTTTCCTTTTAGGAATACTGCAATAGTCTCAAAAGGTACTACTTTTTTTTTTTTTTTAAATAAACATCTTGATTTCATCTCCTTCTTGTTAATCAAGTGTCCTGTCACTTATCCTACCTTAGCAGCCCTGGTAGCCTTAATTTTCAGCAGCATATCAACAAAAGCCACTCGCACTTTCTCTGAACTGTCATGAAGACTCTGTTTGACTGCTGGCAGGAGCTGTTCCAGTAATGGATGACTTAGTTTGTTGTCCAAAATTATTGGTAGGCACTGCAAGAAACAGAAGATTATGCTAAAAAAAAAAAAAAATTTAAAGAATATATATGAAAAAAAGATATAGTTAAGAATTGTTGAACTGGACCATGACACTTCTAAGGTTAAATTAAGTAGGGACAGACACTGTGCATGCATATTTTTTCTTGTAATATTCTTCAGTAAAGACTGATACAGTTATTTCAAATTTCCAGTGAATTATGTTCAGTGAGTTCACTTCAGCTGAAGCAGCTTCAGATCTACACTTAGGCCTGAGGCCATGGTCTTGCCTTCTACCTGAGGGCACAATGTTGAGTAATTTTTGTGGTAGCAATACCACCTCCCTACACTCTGCTGATTTCAGATTAAAAATACGTCTTTTTCTGATAAGTTCTTTTTAAATCAGCATTTTCTGTTTAGCCAGTATAGACCCCTAAGCAGCTATAGCGGAGCAAGTAAGGATTAACACGAGGACAGCTCAAATTTAAGGCTGAATTGACACAGGCACAGAATCCATAAGAGAAAATACTGCTTAGGGAGTTCATTTTTCTGTCCAAGCTATTAGTTATTTACCAGATGCCAGAAAGATGTAGATGAACTAATCCTAACATACTGAACAATGCACAGGAGACTGGTATTCCCAGAGAAACAGTATGTAATTACATATATCCAAACCTCAGAAACACAAAGTGGGGTACAAAATCATAATGTGATTGTGCATGTCTTGGGATGGATTAAAACCAGTAACATAGAAACTTGCCTGCATACATTTTCAAGTCTAAGCATAATTTCTGATAGCTAAAGTAACTAAATTATCAGGTCCAAACAATGTATACGAGACTGGAAATGCAAAGCGGTAGAGAGTCACAAAGCCAAACAGTCACTATTTTAAAAGGCATTTGTTCATTCCAAATGTTTGGCTTTTATAAAATGTGTGCAAAACTTGCGTCTATTAGGAACATTATTGACTAAGTCATTTTGCAGAATAAGTAATTTCCTCGACTTAAAGTGTCCCATACTAGAAACCTGAGCATCAACTAAAATATAAAAATTACAATCATGATTTTAAATTTAGAAAAAAAGATTTACTTTAAAAACAGAGCATCGAACATCAGCAGATGTTACATCACATGCCAGCTCTCCAATTAGTTTTTTTAAAAGATCAGCAAGAATTATTGGAGGAATCATCTCCCAGTATTTGGATGATATCTGAGAAACTCCAAGTATTCCTGTGGAGCGGACAACTGGATGAGGGTCTTCTAAGAGATTCTAAAACAGAAGAATAATAGCGTGAGTATATGCATTATTGTGACTCTACTGCTGTTTGACATTAACCTGTCATAAGCAAATAGCATTCCATTACCTTTTTGTCGTACTATGAAAGTACTGTAATATTAATATTGCCTCAAGTCATTTTATTAAGCAAACTAGGAAGTTTAAATCAGAAGCAAAATTAAGACTATTAGCCATTTTTGTTTTTAACTGGACTTTCGAAATATTGTTTTTAAAACCAGCTCACATTAAGTCTTACATCTGTGACTTAACTGAGAATATTTAGACTTCTATTTACATATGAGTTTACATTGGGCACTGTTCATATGCAACAATATAAAGACTTTGAAATTCATTCAGTTATCTGATGTTCACATTTTAAAGGACCATACTCATGATTTCCCAAATATTTTCTTTAACAATCCCAAATATTTCCTTTTCAAAGTTGAAAATGGTGCAATGTTGTCAACTTACTACAGAAATTTAAAATATTGGTTTTATTTTTGTATTTTCTGCATCACAGGCCTGTATTTCCCTATGAATACTATCCAGAATTTCCATAAATTTTAATTGCATCAACATCTTATTTTTCGGTTAGTTTGATGAAAGTTTCATTTTTAACATTTTAGTTTTATTAAAACTTACAAAAAGCTCGTCAAACTGTTTTTGAATTTCATTGTCCATCTCTTCAGTGTTAAAACTGGGATCACGAACAGGAAAAGCATCTACAAACAAAAATGCTGCATTTGATCGAACTTCTGAGTTTCTGGCCTGTTACAAAGAAGGAAAAAATTTCTTTGGATAAGTACCTACTATTAATATCAAAAGGCATATCCTGTCAAACACTGCTCTCCAAACACTTCTAGCAACTTAATGTGTTTAAGTAGATGGAACAGATAAATTTTTAAATGTATGGAAGAACTTAAGAGTAACATATGATTTTTATTTTTTTTTTTACCTTACATTCCTGCCCATTCAGTAAAACCTGAGTTATAACTACAATCAGCTTTCAAAGCATACCAACTTCAGTGACCCTGAAGAGTCACAGTCAGAGCCATCTTGTAGTGCTAAATAAATTAAAAGCAGTTATGATTTCTCTTGCTTACCTTAAAGGTCCTGTCAAGAGACAGGTGATTTAATTGAAAAGCTCAAGCCTATTTCATCTTCGGGAAAACAGTATTTAGAAACTAAGTACCGGCAAGCCTGGAGAGTAACTTATCCAACAGAAACACTCTCGTTTCTGCATCTGTGCACATAAGTAACAGGACCATGTTCTGAGCTCCAGGCAGCTCGTCGAAAATCTAAGGCAAGCCTCATAACCCTCAGACATTTTACCATTTTTAATAGTTTTCAGTGTGTTACACTATACATTTTGCTAGTTGTAGAGCCCCGAATGTAAAGAAAAATGAAAAAAATGTATATTTAGACACTCAGTGAAAAATAATTGGCCCTGTAGACTCTTAAAAGGATAGAAAAAGAAAGCAGGCAATGAAATGAAGAAAATATGAAATTCAGGGCATCTCAGGGAGAAACCTGAAATCTAACCATCAGATTACATTTTATTTATCAAAGATGGCAGTGCAACGATAAGAGCCTGTACTAACTTCTCCAGGAAGGACAGAAGAATTTTGTTCAAATTTTGATTCCAAGTTAAAACAAACAAATGTGTATACATATATAAGACTACTTATATACAGTGTAGTAAAACAATCAAAGTAGGCTTAATTTTACCAGCAAGATAAGAGACAGTCTAGGGAAAATCCTGACTATTCTATTAATCTAATTTTCTTCTTCCCTTGTCATAAGAAACATTCAGATCAAAGGCAGAGAAAAGAAAAACAAGGATAATCATGTAATATTTAGAACTAAATAAACTAATGTCAAATAAAAACAGACAAACACAAAAGAAATGAACATCTATTACTTCATTTAACAGTTTATTTTGTATTTCCTTTTTGGACCAATCCTCATATGGTGGTCGCATCTCTGAGTAGAACAAAAAAATTCCAAATTCTTCAGGCCAACAAATTTCATAGCAATTCTACACTTAATACTACAAAGGCAAATAAAGCCCATATATACATTCTTTAGTTACAGACTTGTGCTTCATTTATCATGGATAATACAAATAGTCTAAAACTGAAAAGATTATAATTCTTAATTCAATCCTATAAAGCTGAAGAAAATCCTTTAACTTTGGGCTTGTCTGTATTGAAGAATTAATGCAAAGCAAGCTAATATGTGAATTCACAGTGAAATAGCTCTTCTGCACTAATACTTCATGTAAAAATTAATTCAAGTATGGTTTTGTGCAGTAACCTAGACCTTCTCTTCCATGGCCATTACAGAAAGTTAATTTTCATAAACTTTCTAAGTGCATTACACTGAATCCCATTAAGTTCACTTAAATTCTGAACCAAGTACTCACAGTTTAAATTCCTACCTTTAATTAATTACAATTTATCCCAAATGATTTACATATTCAAGCTTGTAATAATGTCTTCATAGGGATAGAACCTAGGACTTCAAATTCATATCCTATTTTACTCCACACTGACTTTTCCATGCAAGAGGAGCCTGCAGTTATTTAAATGATGAATGATTCTTTACCTTTATGCTTGTAATATTCTGAGGAACTTTCAGAACCTTTTTAAACAGTATTTTAATCTTTTTGTTCAGTTATTTTTCAGAGCTTTCTTCTAATTTTCATCTGGTCTTACAGGTCCTGAAATTCACTGCCAATTATTTAAAACACTGTTTTTCCCCAGTAGAAGTTAGTTTAGAAGTGTGGAATGTTAAAAAAAAAGAAAAACAACCAAACACACCCCTTCAAAGCAATCACTTCCTTCAACAGCTTGAATTTCTTCTATGTTTGCATGAGACTTACTTTTCATAATAAAAACATGGAAAAAGATGAGGAAGTCACATAAGAGCTTATATTATGAAAACTTAAAGTTGCATAAAGGCTTATAAAATATGCATAGGTAAAAGCCACGAAGGGATCTCTTCTGTTCTCTCAGCATTTGTAAATCAAGTAATTTAAGAAGAAACAGAGAACTATGTATTACAAATAAGCATTCTCAGTTTAAAGGTTTCAGAGATGAGATCAAGTAGTTTCAACACAAACAGTTCTGGAATCCTTTGTGTTCTTACAACTGAAGTATTTTTAATTTCTGCAAGAAGGAGGGGTAAAGAGGTCCTTCTGTGAGTTCCCTTTCTGTTTTGTAACCAGTGTTCCAGAACAGCATTTGCTATTTGCTGTATTAAATTAGGGATTTGTATACTCAGTAAAATAGGAGCATCAAACTGGTTATCTAAAATTAAACTGACATTTCAAGCTTTGGAGAGGAATCCATACTAGTAAGGACAATTATAAGCTTCTCTTCTTAGTTCTGTATCTTAAACTACTGGTGATTCTGAGTCACAGCAATAGTTATCTTAAAAATGCCAAATACTTCAGCAGTACTATATGGAAAAGAAAAATTAACTATACAAAAGTCACACAGCAAGACACTGGCCTATTCAGAAATAAACTGCCAAATTTTGATGTTCAATCACATATTTTCTTTCACCTATCATAAATATGGTACAGAATCATTTGGAATTCAGAATCTTTCCTTGCATTGAATCATACATGATTCACATAATTGTCGCATTCAATTTTTTACAATCCTCCCTTTAACATCCTGAAATTATGTTCACAACAGTTGGACTATTTTGCTGCATTAAAACAAATTCTCCATGACCTACTTGATATGACTGTTAATGTCTAAACTTAAAGTGCTTAACTACATATGTAGAAGCTGTCATCATAAAAATGAAACAAACAAAAAAACCCAAAAAGACCTCCAAACAACCGAAAAATCATGCCTCAAAACTTCCTAAAATTCAGATTTGTTCTAGCAATGGAACCATCAGTGATGTGAAAATTAAGAATAGCAGCTGTTAAAAATTTGAACCACTTCTGGAATCAGGAATTTTTCCCACTCTTGCTGCCAAGCAATAAAGTAATCATGACAATCAAAAAATTAATCTTTTTTCCTCAAACCAGACCGTACTGTTACATTTCTCTAAACAAATCTATGCAGATTTAATAAGTTTTGACAGAATGTTTCACAGAAGTACTCCAATCTTATACTTGAGTTGAGTCCTGGACTTTGGAAAGTGAACTACTAGATGCCATTTACAGACAGCAATTCCTTTAAAAATGGAATAGCATGTCTTGCTAACCCTTAATGTAAGGCCAAACAAGATACTGGTCTAGTGATGAGTCTGTCCATCTTCCCACTTCTACCATAGGGTTCTGTTGAAGTTAAACAGCTCTCAACTTCTTCCTGTAACTCATAAAACCAATTTCAAACAACTTTTTAAGTTGTTTTTAAATATTTTCAACTTAAAGTGGTTTTAAGTACTTCTCTCATGACTAGTGAAGATGCCATATGACTAAACAGTAAATGAAACCAGTATATGCTAAACAGCACTTAAGTTGGCTGTAACAAATGGTATGTGTATGCTCCCACTGAAGGAATTTCATAACCTCAGACAAAATGAAAGTTGTTCACAAAGGAGGAAGATTGGCTCATCTTAATCACAGAGTGTAACTGAGTAGGTAAAATCCTGTAGGTTCCTTTTAGTCTGTGCATGCAACCCACAGGAAGACACACACACCTTAAAACTACTAAAAGTCAGAATGAAATTTATTGCTTCAATCTGACATACAATCATCATTAATCTGTACATACAATTAAACCAGAATAAAAGGTTTTCTAAAATAATACTCTAATAAATTAAGCTGTATTCTAAGGCTGGTAATTAATCAGAATGTGAGACTAAATCATCCTCAGAACATTTCTGGCTTTGAACAATAAAGCACTGATCATTCCATAAAGATCTTGGAAAACAATACAAGATTATACAAAATTCCCCAAATTGAGATGATGTAAATAGAAAACTTAGTGTTAGTCCCACTGTTTACTGCAATCCCGGAAAGCACCCTGTGTACCTGTAAATAAAACTGAATTATAGAAGTAATTTATATTCACAAGTTAGAATATTGTTGTGCAAACTATGCCTAATTACAACTTGCAAAGTTACGCTACTACAGCTGAGATGCTAAAGAACAGATTTTTTTTTTCCACAGCCATTTTATTTAAAAAGCAATTATTAAAAACAGAACATGTAGGAGGGACCCAAAATTTAGTAGTTGGAGAAAGACAGTCCTATTTTCTGAAAAGGATAATTACCTTCAGTGCTCTCCAAAGGATAGGTTGATACAATCTATAGAGCATTTCTTCAACTCCTTGATGAACTTTACTTTGTTTATGAAAATAACACAGCATCTGAGAAAAACAAACAAATCAATCCCCAAAACCACTTATAAAAATACTTTCTACACTCAAGAAGTGGGCAGGAGTTGTCTCATTTCACAACTTATGCAAGACCAAAGTGTATTCCATATTATGGAAAATGTTAAAACTAGACATATTAATGCACCCTATATTTTATTAATAAATCTCAAAAATAATAGAAAAAGAAAGAGCTCTAATAAATATCACATTTTATAACTTTATAGAGTCAATAAACTTATGTAAAGATCTAAAAGTGAGAAATAAAATCATGGCTAGAGAGTCAGTTTCACAGCAACCACTCACGCTTTTTTTACAGTAAAAAACTCTAAAGTAACTAGCAGAAATACTTTGAAACAGTTACAGATAAATAAGCCATTTCTTTGTTAAGAACAAAGGAACATTATTTGGTAACTGGAGTTATCCAAATACAAATCTACAAACTTACTATATTTTGTATGCATTGATGAAAAACAAGTATCATCCATAGAATCATGGAATGGTTTGGGTTAGAAGGGACCTTAAAGACCATCTAGGTTCCACCATCCAGGTTGCTCAAAGCCCCATCCAACCTGGCCTTGAACCCTTCCAGGGAGGGGGCAGCCACAGATTCTCTGGGCAACCTGTGCCAGTGCCTCACCACCCTCACAGGGAAGAATTTCTTCCTTATGTCTAATATATATACCCCCTTTCAGTTTTCACAAGCACTCCTCGTGATTCAGGACTGTGCTTAGTTAGCTAAAGCACCATTTATTTTTGTATCTGAATTATGCAGACAAAAAGGGAAAGTAGAAGACCAGAGCAGAGTATGAGAAAGGATATCATGGAAATTGATATGAAGTGATTCTTCTGCCCGAAACACTGATCAGTTTGAAAAGAAGTTGACCCTCTTAGAGGTCAATACTTCAGGTATTCACAGCTACAGACAGACAGGGAAGCCTGTGAATAGCATCTACAGAAACAATGCTATAGTGGAAGAATCCCTTTTCTCTGGTATGTATATATTTCAAATATACTGAAGTAAAGACATAGTATAATTTATAAGGGACTATGTAGCTCTTATTTCTACATGAGAATGATGAATCTAACCCAGGATTAATGCCAAGTCCGTACTGTTTTGTAATAGATTTCATTAGAACAGCGAGTATCTGATATCTGCAAAGTGAGCATAGGTTTCATAATCAGAAATTTGAATTCAGAAGGAAGAGTTGTACGTGTTGATTTCCTCTCCTTCCTTTTTCAATAACTTTGCTCAAGTGCATGACTGTGGTTGGTTACTTTTCTATTTGCTATGGGAACTTCTGGATTCTAAAGGACCATTTTAGATCAAATTCTTGCATGCTGAAAATGAATGTAACATTCAAATTTATTTCAGATCCATTCCCCTTGCCACTCAAAGACAGATTTATTTACATCAATGTCCTCTTTCAAGAACATAAGCTTCCAAATTTGAAAAACAAAATGCCCTGTCAAAAGCCACTCCACTAATCAGGAATCAGAGGACAAGGGAATCCACTATAGATATGAGAATCTGTTTATAAACAAAAAAATCTGTTTCATAACAGAATCTGTTTATAAACAAACCAACCAAAAAACCTGCAATATAGGATTGTATACTGATATATCAAGCTATATATTGCACATAATATATTTGGGTGAAAGAATGGGAGGTGAAGGGACATAGATCAAATACAAATGCTTTGTCTTAAAAAGCTTTGTGCAGTTCTCATTCTGCTTATGAATAAAAGATAGACACCTCAAATCTGCAACTGAATCAAGGCTTATCCCTATAAACATTTGTACAAACCTCCCGTATATATAAAAAACAAAAAACAAAAATTAAGTTTAGTTCCAGACCCATCTACTAAATTTGCCTCAAGGAGCTTATGACTTTTTGTCCCTATGATCAGCTATGAAAAGGTCAATTCTCCAGATAAAGAAAAGCATAGACAACAGACAGCAAAACCTATTTCTGGCACTCTGGAAAATCCCCTTATATTTCCATTTTTGAGCACCGAAGACAATTCCTGTGCAAAACTTTAAGCAGATTCTTCCTAAAATTTGTTCTAACATTGTTTCTTGGAATATGCTATTTTTAAAGTAAGTATTTGTGGTGGGTTGGCCCTAGTCTCCAGCTAAGCACTACACAGCCACTCACTTCCTGTCTGGTGGGATAGGAAATTGGAAGAGAAAATCAAGAAAACTCATGGGTTGAGATAAAGACAGCTTAATAAGTGCAGGAAAGAGGACCAAAAACCCCCAAAACAAGTGATGCAAATGCAGTCACTCACCACCTCTACCACAAGTAAACCAATGCCCAGTCAGTCTCCAAGCTATCTTCCCAAATCCACTTCCCCTCAGTTTTTATTGCTGAGCATGACATTATATGGCATGTAATGTCCCTTGGTCAGTTTGGGTCAGCTGTCTTAGCTGTGACCCTCCCAACTTCTTGCTCATCCCCAGACTACTCCCTAGGGAAATGGAGTGGGGAAGAGAAAGCCTTGGCACCATGCAAGTCCTGCTCAGCAACAGCCAAACCATTGGTGTATTATCAACACTGTTTTGGACAACAAATCCAAAACATGGCACCGTAAGGGCTGCTATGAAGAAAAGTAATTCCATTCCAGCCAGAACTAGCATAGTACTTCAGTATGAAATGAAAATTTTTCTCATTATAGTAACAGATCTGATTTTGATGCTACTAGTTCATGTCACGCTTTACAGGAACTTACCTCTCTAACTTTAGAATGAACAGGAGAACTTCTGGGAAGATGAATTCCATGATGCATGAAATCCTGAATGCAGTTATATTCAAGAATCTACAGTAAAAAGACATACATGCTACTCAATACAATAAAACAATAATAAATACTGTAGAGCTTCTTGTACTTCATCTGGACCAAATTTTTCCATGCTGGGGGTCTCTGCTTAAACTGATTTTCAAAATTTCAGAATATACAATTAACCTGATTCTCAGAACCAAGTTTGGAATTCCAAAGCACCTCCACATGGTACCTAAGAATTATTTGGTATCTGAAATGTGGCTGTAGCATTGTTGCGATGCTGTAATTATACTTTTGATCATCTTCATGGAAATCAACAAAAACTAGATAAATATTTAAGGTATCAGATATATAGACTTGCACATACTGAATACAAGCTTCAATAACTTAGATAACTAGTGAGTTTATGAAAAACATTGTATATATGCACAGCTGTGTGAGCCAATATTTCAGCAGCAGAATTAAAGGTGTTTAAATGCAGCCAAGTTGATGACTGTGGCAAACATTCAAAGTGTGACATACTCTTACCCTTTTGCAACACTGAAGAGGCTCTTTTCCTAAGGGAAGTAATTCCTTAAGGCTTGCTTAGGAACCTTTCTGAGGTTGAAAAGTCATGTATCTTCTCCACCTAGAAATTCAAAACTATCCAAATGAAATATTCAAGCACAGTATTACCTTTACAAATTCTCCTGACACCTTCTTCCAGGCCCTGAAGTAAATTTCTGAAATGCTTTCCAGCAAGGACCTGCATTAAAATGTGGGAAACACTTTTAAGCAAGCAGTCTAACCATATCTGTGCACAATTCATAAGGGTAACAACATGAAGTTTTTAATAAGTACCAATATTATTCTTAATTCTGTGCATTAACATTATTTTTAGAAGAAGAAATTATCTTGAAAGTCTACACTGATAATTACGGAAAAACAAAGTTAACAATTAATGAACCCAAGCACTATTAAAAAACACAAAAAATATCTCTTATGGTAGGAAACTCAAAACATTAGCACAGATATTTTATCATTTATCTCACAATGAATGCCTAAAATTCTTCATGAAGATATACAGGTATATATAACTGAAACTGTTACAAAGCCTCTGATTTTAATATGAATAATTACTTCTGTAATATTTCACTGAATAATCAAAGGAAAAAAAATAAACACATTTTTCATACATCAGTCCAGTTCTCAGGCTATGATCCTGCAAGTCACTTCTTATTAGAATGTCTCTATGTAGAATCTTACCTAATTAAATTAGAGGTTGCTCATAAGAAAAAATAAAAACATCTTACAGAAGCAGAAATGGACCTGCAATTCTCACACAAACACTGAAAGTAATGCAGCACAGTTTATATGAAAGTCATTTGTTTTAGCTAATGCTAAATAAGCATTTTACTACACCTATAATTGTACACATAGGCATTTGTAGAGCAACTATTAAATTAAGTTGTTGAAACAATACAGTAGTTATATTCAGCAGATTTGAAGGTGTCTACATTCTGATATATTTTATCAATATACTAGGTATTTTAAAATGTGAGACAAACAAGATTTTTAGCCAACCTCTTAATGATCATTAAGAATTCTAACTGTGATGCATACCTTGGAAAGAACTGTAATTGGTTTTTAACAGTTCCATGTATCATTTTAATGAAGTTTACATTCCAGCTGAACAAAAAGCTCAAGAATCTTCTTCCCTGTTGGGAGGGGAAAAGAGGAAAAAAAAAGGGAAGTCAAACCCCAGAGGAACACATAATTTAAAAGCCACCTCAAAAATCAGTAAATACAGAGTTTAAAGATCAAAAAAAAGTTCTTAATTTTTAAACATAATTCAGGCATTACTCTTATTTATACTGTAGAGAAAACACAAAAAAAAAATGAACATACGGATTACATATCTGCCTGCATTTTTTTCAGTGTCCATTCTATTTTGGTGTGACTTCAAGTAGTATCCCATAACGATAAGAGACTGTGCAACTCAGGACCCTCATTAAGGCCACATCATCAGAGCTCTGTCAAATGCAATATTCCAGGATGACACCATAATGACAGTGAAGGTACAAATAAAATAGCATGACAACTCTGCCAGCATTGGATACAGAAATATTTTTGAACAAAACCACTGAGAACAGCTGGGCCACTGAGGAAAATAAGTGCTCTGATTAGCAAGGACAATCCCTTTCCTATTGCCTCATGAAAGGTAATATCGCAAACTTCCTGGAGCTGTTTTAATTCATGAAAACAGAAAAAAAAAGAAAAAACTATGAATTTTTTTTCCAGTTTAGCAAGTCAGAAATGGTGATGACAAATCTGATGAGCAACAGAATTTTCGCAAGAAAAAGCAGCGGAAAGCTGTGGTTGGAGGAAATAAGCCCTTGCTCTTCCAGAATCAGCAAGATCTGCCCAGGGAATTAGAGCCTTACACATATCTGTACAGACAGCATCACTCTGGCTTATCTTATAGATGAAGTGAAGGCATCCAGCTTCTGAGACTTTGAAAAGTTTGGTCAGACATAAGGGTGAGTCAGCAAGTTGTAAGGGTCCTTCGTACCTGTCAGCTTTCTAGCTAAAAATAAATCAGGAAAATTAATAAGGGAGTGCAGTAGTAAAGAGCACATTAACAGAAGTTCAAACGGTGAACTGAGCAATTAGCAGAGGTGCAAAGGCACTTCTGTCGAGATCTGGACCAACAGCTATGTTCAGGCATATGACAAAACAGAGAAAATAAGGCTGAGAATGTCAGACACACTGAGCTGCATTATCATAGAGTAGGGGTAGAGGGAAGGAAGCATATAGGCAGAAATGCCCTTTAGTGGAACTGATAGCTTAAATACCTTCAGGTCAAGAAATAATTCAGAAGATCATAAAAATCAAGACCTAAAAGCTAAACATAACGTCAAGATTGTTGACCACAGGTCTAATGGAATCCTTCCTGTTGTCAGTGAGAACTTCTTCCACTAAGAAAGAAAAGTGACTTTCATTCAGTCTTTATCTTCAACACTGGTAGTATGATACATATATTGGAGTCCCAGTGGTACACTCTTCCATCAGTTCCTGACAAACTAGAAGGTCAAGGGAGTCTTGACCTATAGCTTCTGCCTCAACAAGGCAAAGGACAAACTCAAACTCATCTCATCTTCTACAATCCCGGCAGCAAGACAGATGAAGAAAAGTCACAGTGTTGCTTTCAACCAAGCTTTTTTTGCATTATATTTCAACAGATTGACCCTGATCCTAGAAATGACAGTAAGCGTCTCTAATTTAATCTGCTGCTTGTGATCAGTGGATCTGAAAGATTACCGTTATTCAACATACTCAGTATGCTGAAAGGTAAACTGGTGATAGGTGAATAAGACTGCAAACCTGTCATCTTCAGGGTTAATGCATTAACAGAGTGTTGGGCATCTGGTACTGCTGTGCTTGTGGAAATAGTACATGTGACTTTGTCAGTTGCACACACAATTAGTGTTAGCAAGGAAGAAGAGAATAGAACAGGCCTACCTCTAAAACACAATAATATCTGCTGTGCAGGGCTCTCCAGCTGTTTGATTGGAAACTCCACCTGAACAATAATGTTTTCATAAATCACAGAGAGATAGAAATTCAGAGAATCACTCCACTAATGCAGCCTGAAAATAAGCCTCTGAAACTATTGCTCTGTGTTGAATGGCACAATTTGGGAAGGCAGAAAGCACAAACTCCTTGATCTTTCAATGAGGCATAAACACACAATTCTGTATCGGTTTAATGTGATCTAGAACCAGGATACCGCATTCCTCATCCTCCCCTTTCCTTCATCCTTGCATATGATGAACCAGCTCAGGCAGCTAACCTGGCTGAAAAACAACCTTGCTAGGAAAAAAACTAATCAGCTACCTCCTTCAATCAACACATGACAGAGCTGCTTGAGCATTCATACTGTGGAGAGGAAAATAGGAATGCTAGCCCATGGCAACACAGGCTCATTGCAACCTGGAGTTATATCAGCTTAAACTGATATGGAGCTATGCTCTGGGATGTGTACTCTAAAAAGAATTTGGTCTACTTTCCTTAGGAACTGTAGAACAAGCCTGTAGGCACTAAAGGGAATATTAGCTCTTACACGTTGGAGTTCAGTTTCATCTCAAGGCAATTCATACATCACGTTGATATTTGGTATAACTCTTAGCGTTTCAGAAATAGACACAGAATGTAAGAAAATGGACCAGCAGAGATACCGGAGGCATGTTGGACATGTTGCTACAAGAAATCTACCATCACTGAAGCCAGCTAGGCAGGGAAACAAGAGAACACACATGAGGTGAGTTGTCACTAAAACTAAACTCCTTTGGGATGCAAAATCCCAAACAGAAGGACTTGTAACAGAAGTGCACTAGTTTTATAGCAATAGGTTTGAATACTTTGAATTTCAAGACACTTAATCTCCTGTCTGTAGAGCTGGAAGAATCCCAATTACCGTTGTAGAGCTGTACTGGCAGTTCACATATTGAAGTTGGATTTCAGCTCACAAACTGAGACATCTGGATTTGGATGTTTAAATCCGTAGAAAGTTAGTTGCCTGGAGAGTGATTCAGGTGATCAGCTGTTAGTAACTGCTTTATGAAGCTGAATTGTTCTGTTGATTCCGTTGACTAGGGGCAGTGCACCACTACCTAAACAGAGCAATTTTAAACACTCAGATTGTTTTCCAAAAGGCAGAGATATCTGACAAATCCTGTTTTATTTGCCAGTCCCATGTGGATGTCTGAGGCAACTTAGGTCATTTAATGCAGCACGGGGCATTCACTTAAGCAATTAAATCCTTTCCCCGACCTGTACTGATTAGGCTCCTGTGTAGATACCTAAATTGGTTTCAGACACCTAATTTAACTGAAACCTATCTTGCAGTCTTTCTACAACAGGTTGTGGTTCCCCTTTTGAGCGAATTGCCTCAAGGATGTAAAGTGACTTGTGTATTGGGTTTACGTGGTGAGGTTTTGGTAGCAAGGGGCCTACAGGTTTCTGTGAGAAGCTGCCAGAAGCTTCCTCTGTGTCCAACAAAGCCAATGCCAGCCACCTCTAAGATGGACTCAGCCCTGGCCAAGGCCAAGCCCAGCAGCTACAGTGGTAGCACGGGTGGTAACTTATTTAGGAAGGGGGGAAAAAAAACCTGTGCAATGCCAGCAGCAGTCAGGAGAGAGAGGATTGAGAAGATGTGCAAGAAACTACTCTGCAGACACCAAGGTCAGTGAAGGAGGGGGAGGAGGTGCTCCAGGCACCAGAGCAGAGATTCCCCTGCGGCCCGTGGTGCAGAGCGTGGTGAGGCAGGCTGTGCCCTGCAGCCATGGGGGTCCACAGTGGAGCCGACACCCACCTGCAGCCTGTGGAGGACCCCATGCCAGAGTAGGTGGATACACCTGAAGGAGGCTGTGACCCCATGGACCCCTTTTATACTTAAGGCTGTGTTTCACCCAAATATTCAAGGTACAAACCTTCTTTAGAAAATATGTGTAGTAATTAACATGTGTTCTATTAAAAATCTCACAAAATTTGGAAGGAAAAAAAAAAAAAACACAAACCTACAAGTTGCTTCTGAAGTCTAGATTTATTTTACAAATATAATTCCCAGTTATTTACTGTGCCTTTATGCCTACGAAATATTAAAGCGATGCAGTGGATTCAAATAAAAGAGGAGAAAATAATAAATACAGAATCAAATATAGGTAAGGCATTTTAAATACTGTGACAAAGAACACATACAGGTACACACTTTTTCAAGAGGACAAAAAATTACCTGAAATGAAATACACCATGGACAACACTAAATGCAAAATCAGTCAATAAAATCTTACCTGTCTTCCCTTTTTCCACCCATGTTTCCTCTCCTTCCTTTCCCAATGCTCACATTACCCTAGTACATCCCAATTTTAGTCAAAACTAAAACATCTTAAAATATGACATGTAAGTAAGAAAAAAAACCCCTCAAAACTTAGTGTCAGGTACCCAAAACCTGGCCTATCGAACATTTCACCTAATTCATTTGCTACCACAATTTTAAAACACCATATGCCCATACTGCCACAATTACGCTGTTATCTCAGAGCTCATTTTATGACAGTGTTCATATATTTAATGAAAGAGAATCTATATGTTTTAAACAAGCAAGAAATAGAACTTCAAAGCCAGTGTCAGGTTGTCTTGTCACCTACCCAGAAAAAAAAAGCTCAGATACTACTATCTTGGTGCACAGGCAAAAACTAAAAATTACAATACAGCAATTCTTCACTGAGGGAAGTGTAGGTGGTCAAAAAAATAATTCTCATTATGCTGTAAAGTTGGGTTCTTCTTATGCTACTTTTAGAACAGACTATGACAATGCAATCTTCTAAATGGAATAATTTAGAAGGGAAATTATTTTGCTATAGTTATCTGTCTCCAATAAAAGAAAAACTGCTATAAAAGAGAATTATACCAGGTTATGGTTTTAAGTATTGAGGAACATGCACTGGAAGCAAAGCACTTGGTTCTTATTACCTTGGGATACAAGAACTTGAGTGAGGATTTAGACATATACTTTTACACTTTAGTCTGTAATAGGAATAAACAGAATATCAGCTGTTTATAGCCTGGAGTCAGAGCTGATTTGTCTCGTATTGCTACCTACTGTACTGTAAAAAAAGGCTTAATGCAAGAGCCAAAGCCCACCCATATAAAAAATCACAGTAAGATAAAAGTTTGCTTACCTCTTCTTTTTTAATGTATTTTACACTCATAAAACACTGAAGCAACAAGTCCTTTACTTGATTACTCTCCTCTGAATCGTAATCAAAACAAAGTAATGTCTGATGTAGATTCCATATACGACTTACATCTGCACCCTGACAGAAAAAAAAGCCCACATTATAGTGAAGTAGGTGTAGCTTTAATGTGAAGAGGCATTTAAAGGATTTTAAATAATTAATTTGATATGCATTGTTATAGATTTTAAGATTGTAAAATAATTAAGATTGACTGACTTTCACCACAGAATTGGAAAAAATTACAAAAATATGTGTAACTGCAGAAATATTGGCTTCCAACAGCTGAAGACATACTCAGGTACAGAAAGAAAGCTACTATTTCATATAAAATAGATGAAAACTATATTACTCCACTTTTGAAACTTTATACAATGGAAGAACTTAACAGGGAAAATTAAGTAAAGGAGATATTTATTGGGTTAGTGCAAAAGATGTACACCATAATACTCTAAGTATCACACACATTTAAAAAAAATAATTTAAATCTATTAACAGAGAAAAAAAATGAGAGAAAAATGTAGAGAGATACAGAGCAACAGAAAATGAAGCTTCCCACACATAAGTAGTCTCTATAAGTAGCTGAATTAACAAAAATGAGTTACTTGATTTGGAAACCTTGGTCATGGGACTTTACAAATGAGTGAATAAAAAAAAGGATGCAAAAAACCCCACAGTTCACTTGTGAAACTGATGTCAAAAATCTTTAAGGTTTGTTCTAGAGAAGGCAACATTTTAATATGCTGCTTATGAAAAAGACACTTTGTAACCCACATGTATCCTAGATTTCATTAATTGAGAAGCACTGGGACACGGAAAACAAGTTGACTTGAAACAGGAGGTGTTTTGGAGGGCTAATCTTTCTTGGAGTATTCAGTAATAATCTAAAAGTCAATGTAGCTTCAGCATACCGTAGCAGCTTTATCCAGGCTTTTTTTTAGCAGAATGATAAATAGAGTCTTCCCTAGCTGCTCCTTCCCTTCCAGTTCTTTCTCCCACCACATTTCACATACATGTTGGATAGCACCCTGTAGGTTTTTTTCTGATTCAGGTAATGCGGGACAAATACCTACAACAGTGATAAAATAATTAATTACTGCAATGAACCAAGTTATTCCTGCAAAACACTAGTCTGTCAGTACACTAACTATACCTCACAATGTCAACCGGCTCTTGTCACATTTACACATCTTAATAGCTTATTCTCACTGTGGGGTTTTGGGCAGCTTTGTAACTCTCAGGTTTTGGCCAAGTTTTTGGATCAGTAATACAGGAATCTTAAGTTTTGCCTTAAGAATAATATAAGCCACAGAATAAGGAAAGTTATCTAGCATTGGGTGAACAGTTGGGAGAAAGAAAACTATTTAAGTTCCAACTTCTAGATTGTGTGACTGATTTTTAAGTAAATGCTCCCTTAATTTCGTTTCATAAATAAGAGCTCACAACAATACCAACTTTTCCCCTGTACATTCTGTTCCATAGGCCAGTCAGGTCAAACAAAAAACCCAGTATAATCATCTGCTAAAAAAACAGTAGAATGCTGTATTCTATGACAGGTAACTACTCACCATTTAATATAAAAACACATTCTAGAAGAGCTTTGTAGTTTACAGTTTCATCCACTGCAGGTATGGAAGCAATAACTACAGCTGCCACTCCTTGGATCACAGCTACAGTTTGTTTCTAAAAGAAAACAATGTTGAGGAAACAATTCTGCAGTTTATTTTATACTCAGAAGGTAATTATGCCAAGAACTAAACCTTAGCAACAGAGAGCAAAGCTGAAGTGTTATTATGTTTCCATTTTGAAGAAAGAGTGTACTGGCACCCAAAACCTATCAAATAAGAGGCAAAACCATACGTTTTATTAAAGTACATTAATTTCAAAAAGTTTGAAAACAGCTTTTGGCTCCAGCTAGTAGATAACTTGGGGACTGTACATGTGTATCCTTTCCTCCATTAAAAGCTTAATCTGCAACAAAACCACTCAAACACACATCCATTTCAAAGCTAAAGAGATTGTAACTAGCAGGGTCTTCTACAGCTCAAAAAAGTGTAAGTCTGGTGACTTTAGATCCAGGTACGTGACTCTGTAAGACTCTGTACATATGACTTTTTCTACAAGCCTCTAGGTCTCCCTAATGATTTCCCCATTGCACTTCTTTTGTCTTCTGAAATTAAATAACCTTTTCCCCCAATACTCTCGACTATGTGGACTACAGTGCAGGAAGGTTTGAGTCACAGAAATTCTGTAGAAGCTAAATATGTGGGAGGGGCGTTCAAATCTGAATTTCATGATCTTCAGTCAGTAAAATGACATAATAAAACCAGTAGTGATTTTCTTGCACTATATTCCAGATACATGAGGAACATCTGAAATGTCAACATTTACTTCCTGAAGCCCACTCTAGTGAAAAAACTAATTCCCATCTTTCACAATTATCAGCAGATCTAATCTTTTAAAGTACAGACTAATCCTAAAATCAGGTTAACCCAAACATAACAGCATAAGAAGTCAATTAAGAACACAGCAGGGACATGATGTTTGGAACTGACCTTGTGTGATAACCCTCACATGTTTTCAGATGCTCTGGAAATATTTCAATTTATTTCCCCAGCAAATATGAAATACTAATCATACTTCTATTTGACAAGATTTTTACCATTTCTGGAACTATCTCAACTTCCATGCCATCACTATTTTCATCATCTTCAATCCTCTGCCATGTTTCCACAGGGTTCTCCATCAAACTCTCTGTCAATAACTGCGTCAGTCTCTCCCACAGAACTTCCTTTTGCTTCCTTGGCAATTCTTGAAGCAGTTCATTCAAGTCAAAAGGATCAAATGTATTTTTCTGTGACTGGTCAGAAGATATTACACAATTCCACATCAGTGAAGTGGTTTATATTTCATCACCATATTTCCTAAAATTAATACTTTTTTTACATTAAGGATTAATTTCCATTCTGCTGCAGTTACAGAGACAAAATAAGTTCCAGAAATTATTTCTTTTAAAAAATAGCATGAGAAATTCCTGCTGCTTAACCTTTTATTGTGAAACAAGATTGCTTCTTTTAAGACTAAAGTCTTTAGCCCTTGATAGCAACACTACTGAACAGAAATCACATCCCCCATAACATCAACTTCTGTCTCTCATGTGTTCTAAATACTTCATTCCCAATAGAGACAATTCCATACTCTTAGCTAAGAAGCTCACAACTGCAGAGAATTAAAGTCTCTGATCATATCTTTCCTGTCTTAAATATGGATTGATGATGGTTGTTGAAAGAAAGTCCTTATGCAAGGAAAGGCACACAGTACAGCCTTAAGGACAGCGCTACAGATTTTGGAGTACAATCTGCATAGAACAGTGCTCTGTATACTGCACTATTTTAAAGCTCCCCTTCATCAAACCTAACTCCTGAGCACATCAACCCCATACTTCCCCCTCTTAAGCTCTACTGAATGGGAACCCACTAGTGTCTATAAGAGACTGTTCTGAACTATTTCCTCAGAAGAACCTTGCCAGAAGAATTTACCTCAGGGATGCAAAGAGCCTGTTAGCATCAAAAAAGGGTAGGCAACCTTCCAGAAAAGGGAATATGCAGAGAAAAAATGAGAAGAAAAAACAGACACAGCCAAGAAGAAGTACAGATAATTTCTGAGATGTAATTTGTAATACGGTAGTGAAGGCTTACTGGATCAAAAAAACACTTTGGAGGAAAGAGGCAGAAATGTCCATGATCTTGAAAGAAAAGTAGTTTTAGTTTGCAGATACACTAAAAAACAGGAGTCAAGAAGAAAAAAAAATTTGAAGGGAAAAAGAAAAATCGGAAATAATGAAAGATGCAGAAGTATTAGAAGGTTCCCAGAAGGGTATGAGAAGAAAGATCCTGTTACATATTTATAACACAATTTCTATCCTATTCTACAGCTAGAAACAAATACAATAAACTGAAGGCCACATAGGGATTTCTGCAGCCCTCAACTTTAAGCAATCCCAAAAGACAGGATATTAAGATTGCACTGTTTTGACCAAAACAAATGAATTAATAATAAGACTACAGCTTTCTGATCTTTCTTTGGGATGATACAAGATAGAATTATTCCAAAAACTATAAGGGAAAACGATGTCATTGAGTGATAGTCATATCTATGATTCCTGTTTTCCTGTCTAATAAATAATGTATTTTTTGACATTGGAACAGGATTTAGTGGAAATATTTAACAGCACCTGATAAAGACCTCAATGAACTGCACCACATTATGGTAATATTTTAAGAACGATTACAAATAAAGCAAAGTGAAAGGCCTGAGACAAACCTTGAAGGAAAATTAGCAAACCCCTGGAATTTTAGATTATGCAAATAAAGCAAAACATTGAAAAGAGGGAAGAAAATTAAAGGGGGGTGGGAAGGTATAGAAATGAGAAATATTGAAAGAAGTAGTGATGCTAAGAACTCTAAAAAAAAATTACAAAGGTAAATTCTGAGGCTAGAGCACAAAATAAGTAGAAAAAGCAGGACATAAATATAATATGAAAACTAAGGAAAGCAGTGAGGCACTAACCACTGTCTCCTCTTCTTTCTACATTTATATATCCACTTCTGAAGGACAGAATACACTACAACAGCCTCCTCCAGAAAAGCAGTCAAGAATTATTCATAGGAGATCCTAAAATGAGGATCCTCATCCTAACATAAGATATGGTTAAACACCCTCCATCACTGAAGGTTTCAAAAGGAAATTGATAAAATAACTCAGGTCTCGTAAGCCATCAGAAAAAAATCCTTATATACATGTTCCCTTTTCCTATGGAGTCATGAAGACAGTTTTAATCAATATACTCATTCTAGATGGTGACATACAGTTTCCAAAGGTATTTGCAACAGCTGAAAGCTGTTGCAAGATAACTCTTGTGAATTCATGGTGAAAAATAAAAGGATGAAAAAATGTTTTTTAATCCAAATATATTGAGATATGTTAAGGTAGATTAGTGGATGGAGATAGCAGAAACAACATGACCAAATTAAGCAAAAAGGAAATGCTGCAAGTACCATGTCATCCTAAACAGAGCGGTTTCTTGTTGAAGTGCTTATATTTGGGGAAAAAATGGAAAGGAGACTTCAAGCAAAGGTAAACTGGTAACAAAGTTATCATCTACAATTACATAGAGGAGTGCAAATGAAAAAACTAGCAAATGTATTGGAAAAAGAAATTCAGTGATGTTTGGGAGACAAACATTTCTAAGCTTATTACATAGAACATGATCCCTAACATAGAAATCACAGGTTTAATACATTCGCTACATTAGTAAATTAGTTTGTGCCTCTGTGAACATAGAAGTCAACTGATCAACTTACTTTATCCTGATACAGGTAACATTAGGAAAATACTGATTAGAAAGCTTAAGAAACAAACCTGACAATATCATTTATTAAGGCTAGCAAAAGGTGTTCAGGAAAAACCATGTTTATCTTAATACCAGACAGATTGAATCTTAGAGGAAAACACCACAATGAAAATTTTTATTTCTGATTATTACACAATATCATTTACAATACACAAGAATGAACTTTTAATTAGTAGATTTCAGTGGATCTGTTTTGTTATTCCTTCTGCTTCTCTCCATACTGCATTCAGAGAGAGCAATCTAGCCCGTCTATAGAACTTTCAGTGATAAGAATATCAAATACAGTTACACACAGATGAAAGAATAGACAGCCTAAACTATCAAATGAACAAATACTAGAGAAACATGCACCCTCTATGTCTGTATATTAGCTCCTATTCATTACACAATAATCTCTTTCATAGGTTGAAATAAAAAAAAAAATCATCATCATATAAGTATTTTAGTATTACCACAGTACTTCTAATTTATTTTTAAAAAATGTAAACTGTATATGCAACAACCAAATGTTAAAAAATTAGTTGGTTTATAAATAGCAAAATTTTAGGTTCTACAACTTTTTCTGCTATGTTCCCTTACATTCTATTTCAACTTATTTTCTGCAGCAATTATTCTAACATATCTGTGGGTACCAGAGAAATAGTTTCTGTCCTTATGTCACAAAATTTCTGCACTAATAACAGACTCATGATTTTATTAGTCACGCACATGCATTATGGCTTACTTACAGAATTCTGAGTATAACGCAAGAAGTCTTCAATTGACTCTTTAGACACAACTTGTAAAAATGCTTCACGTTTCATTGTGGTCTTGTTATTCCTTGTTTTATAAATAAAACAAAGTGTTAGAGAAAGTACTATATCTCAAAATAAGATAATTTTTGGTGTCAGTGAGGAATGTAAGAATTACATAGTCATAAATAAAAGATGTTTCCCACTCCAAAATACAGTTATCTGAATCAGCATTTAGAATCATAACAGCATTAGGCTGCAGTGTTTGCATGCTCTCTTTTTATTTACTTTACAAAAAAAGTCTTAAAACAGAAGGATCTTTTAGTGTATACTTTTATTTTTAAAAAGAACAGTGTATCCATGACATAACACCTGTTTAGCTAGTCGTCATTCCCGACGATAGCAATTACTTGTAAGAAAAGTACTGACGGGTAGCAAAATATTCTCATTTATTCTCTTGTCAAGTGAAGACTATGGGAAACGGGCAAGGCCGCTTTTTGGCATCACGAGTTTAACTTACCCACCTAAGCTTTCCTTCCACCCTAGGTGATTCCTGTCGTGCTTTTCCCACCCCTTCCAGTTGGGTGACTCTGTGTGAAGCCACATCCAGGGCCCTGTCCCGGGACCAGCCCGAGGCCCCCGGGAAAGGAGGAAGCGGGAAGACAGACGGGCCGCTTACCTCGCGCTCCCTCCGAAAGAAATCCTATTCGATCCGCGGGGTTACGTTTACAGCAACGCGGAGCTGCCTGAGCGGTGGGAAACAAAGACGGCGGTCGCACGGACTGACACGCGGGAAAAGAGCCCGCGCGTCCCAGTAGCGCTGCCCACGGAAGAGAAGAAGAAAAAACCAAAAAAAAAACAAAAAAAACCAAAAAGCCAATCCGAATACCCGCCGGGTGCCGCACAGGGACGGGGCAGCCGACGTCCCCGCCGCTGCCGCAGCCCTGAGGGAAAGGGAAAGCGGAAGCGGAGGCCGAGGCCGACGCCCAACCCTGCCGCCGAGCGCGCGCGCGCGCGCTGCCAGCCCTTTCAAATTCTCCCGCGGCGGCCGTTGAGCGCGGGCGGAGCTCCCGTCTCGCGAGAGCTTGGGTCTCGCGAGCGCTCGGCGCCGGCCCCGCCTGGCGGCCGGTACCCGCGCGCCGCGGCTACGCCCGAAAACCGCCTTTTTCTTCTTTTGGCGCCTGCCTGTGCCGCGTTTGTTCGAAGGGGAGAGTGGCCTGGAGCGGAGGCGAGGCGCCAGGTTGTAAATCTCCCCGGAGAGGGTAGGCCCGGTGACGGGCACGGCTGGGCAGCTGCAGCCCAGGCCTGAGTGAGGAGGAGTTCAGTGAAGCCGTGCTGCTCGAGTTTGGCTACACTGAAATGCTTCTCTGCTGCTTTCACTTTATAATAAAGGCTGGCCTGGTAATGCAGCTTTCCCTGGAGAAGCATCCGATCAGTTACCCAGACGTGTCTGACAAGGAGTAGATCTACATACCACCTTCCTGTAGCTATCTCTTTTAAGTCTCCATGCGATCAAACGGGGATAAGGTGTTTAGCTAAATTCAGGTATAGGCTTAATAGTATCCCTTCTTCCACAGATCTCAGGTAACATGGACATGTACTATTCTTACAAAAACAGTCCTGCTAGCTCACAATGCCTGCATCATCCATTGCATTACACTGGTGACGTTTTTTTTTCCTCCATTAATGTTTTTATTGCTAGTGTTGACAGTTAGGCATTTAATCTTAGTCACAGTGAACAGTACATGTATTACACACTCTTCATCCAAAGTGATGAAGAGTTAAACAGGCTACTCACCAGAATGTATAGAAGACTATGTAAGCCAGATGATACTTACACTTTGATAACTAAGGATTTTTTTAAAAAAACAGGAAATGCTGCTTTCTGTTTCATCTCAAGCTTAATTTGCAGTGTTCAGAAACAGTTGGACTCAGTTCCTTGAATTAAACATAATCAGTTTTCAAATTCTGCAATATTCCCTGTTCCATTTGTTTGAGCTCTTTTGCAAAGCAGAAACAGTCAATATCTCTCATTAAGGGTTTAATTTATCTTTCAATTTTGCATTTGCAGTAGCATATTTCACAGTATTTCTCAGTGTTGTTGGCTGTTCAGATGAGGTAGGTGCTTGACTGAAATCATTTACTTCCAGTCTGTGATAGCAGTACAGCATATGCTGCTTTACTGTGCAAACAAACAAAACCATCAATGATTTCCATAGAAGTTCTCGTATCTCATTGGACTTTTCTGGATTTAAATTTTTAAAATCATGATGTAATTCAGATTTTAATTAAATTTTATATGTAAAAATTCACTACTTTAAAAAGTATTATTTGTATCTTCTAATATTTTAAACATAGAATCTTATTTAATCGTTCTACTTCTTACAGTGTCAGTTTGTATTCAAAATTAAGATTTGTCACATTTTCTAGCATATATATTTGACTTACAGGGTTTTCCTGGTTTATTTTTTAAAGTTTTTGAGTAAACTATTTAACTGTTTTTTATACAGTTTGAAGACCATTAGGATGAACAATAGTTTATTATATGCTTATCCCATATATATAACACTAATTCTGTATTGCTTAAAAAAAATGTAAATAACAGATGACTAATGCTACTGGAAACAAAGATAAAACCTTTCAATTCCTGAGTCATCAATTGAGTCCACATGAAACTCCTGAAATAACTGGATTTTAAAAGAAGTATTTGCCACACAGAAAGAACTGTAGGCACTGCAGGAGAATGGGTTGCACCACTTACAAGTTGTAACTGAGATGGTTGTGTACCCAAGGCAGGGACAATATGGCAGAAGGAGTTAGCAGCCACAAACTCATCTTCTTGAGCAACAATAATCATGCACCAGCAGTTCAGTGCCACTCCTTGCCTCCACCTGAAGCCAAACACACACATACCTCCTCACGTCATATTGCCGTCTAGACAAAGGCCCGTCTCCTTTGAAGCGTCGAAAAGGCAATGCAGCAAATTCCCACCATCCACCTACTGGCAACCACAGAGAAAGGTCCCAGGAGATGGATCCCTGGACAATCACTTGAAATAGCATCTGCCCTCCAGCCCTCATCCCCACACTGACAGCCAGCAGGCATTGGTTTCCAGAAGCAGAATGCCAAAAGAAGGGAGCATTTTTCTGCTCTAAAGTAAAGAAAGATCAAGAATTACGGTTGTTTCAGATCCTATGGACTTGACTTTATTTCTTAAAGCTAGGTACAAGAAGCCCATGAAATGGTTTGCTTGCAACAAGTTGTATGAGCAATCATCATACTTGTAGAATAGTAAAAGCAAATAAAAAAGTACGAAAATATTTATAGATAGTGCTAATGTGTATCTTTTCTGCATATATTAAAAATCTTTGCCATTTTAGATCCAAACTGATGGATTTATTTATCATGTCTTATGTGGACTGAATATGTCATTAATAATTTGATTAGTTTTTTAATTAGATGCTACATTAGTCACCTGGTTACTGTTTATTTTGTCGGGCACATACTCATTTAGAAAATTAATTAAAACATAATTTAGCTTATAATTTGCGTTGCATAGCAACCACAGAATGAGTTTTTTCATAGTATTGAAACTAAAAGTTGACACAGATAACAACAGACTGAGTAACACCAAATAATTCATTTTAAAGGACCACATGGAGAAACCAGAGAGGCAGAAGAGTGTTTTGTAGGTTTTTTTCAAAAATTGTTCATGAACTGCAAGCCAGTAATGAAGCTACAACTCTATTTGCAGTTTCTCTAACGTTCTCCCTTTCAAGAGTACCAAATTACATGCCTCTTTTTGACATATCTGTTCATCTGTTCAAAATAATCTATACCCTGTGATAATAATCTCATATTTATTATCATTTTCCTGTCAAGTTAAGTTAAGGCAAAAATGAAAAATGGGCTTTCCACACATGGTTGCTGAGCAACCGCAAATAAAGATTTGCTTTTGTGCTACCGCTTCTTTAGTCTTTATTCTTGTTGGTGGCCTGCATAAGAGATCTCAATTACAAGTGTCTCTCACAAGAACATCATAGTTTGGACTATAGTGAGTATTCTGTTTTAACTTATATTGACTCAACATTATAAATACTTGTGAGAAAATAAACAAGAAATTCCCTGAACATCAGATGTTTTCTTGACACGTTTTTTCATATTTACAATGTTATTTTCTAGATAATAGTTGCTGATGAGATTATTGTACACGTTATCTACTAACATGTTAGAATTGTTACTGCTATTTCTTTTCATCTGAATATGTAATAAAATTTGTTATAGTTAATGCAGTATCCACAAAATCTGCTCATCCTCTGAGGCAGGCTGTTAATAATTTACATGCATTCATTTCCCTTGATTTTTTTTTGATCTTCACATACTTTGATAAATAATCCGAACAGCATGGGAGGGAGATGAAGTTTCACACTATTCCACTTCTCCAGATCTCCCCTTGCCTGAAGGTACTACTGCCAATCATGCTATCCTTTATGCAGAGGCAACTGTCAGTTTTCAATGGTGGTGTGATTAGACCGTGAAACAGCTTATTTCCCTTAAATTATTAATATTAACACGAAACAATTTTACAGTTTAAGAGATTAAGTAGAAAAAAAAAATATTCACTACTGAAGAAAAAAAATTATCCTTGTTAACTCGAACAAAAATAAGGAAATGAAATGTGCAGAGGGAATGCAAAACCTTTTCTGAGGAGCCACTCCCTTGAGCAACTGTAGATGCTGTTGAAGTCCTGAACTGCCGCCCCGTGGGAGTGGGCTGGTACTGCTGGGTGACCTGCAGTTTATTCACACCAAGGTAAATTTAAGGAAGTGAAAACAGTGCAGCTTTATTTAAGGAAGTGAAAACAGTGCAGCTTTATTTATTTTGTTTAATTATTATGATTTATTATAAAATAATTGTTTCTTATTTGCTTTATTATTATGCTCTTACTGTTATCCCTCTTCCCTTGTAGTCAGTGTTACAAATCACAGTAATTTTACTCTGCTATTAGTAACACGAAAATTGAAAGATTTCTGAAATGCTATAAAATGCTCACAAAGAGGAATTACAATAATATTTGCATAGCTAAATCCATCCCACTGTAAATATGTGGAGTGTCATTTTTCATGATAACTACAGCAAATACTTTCTAGTATCGTCATTAACATCTTTCAGAATATTATGTATCAGAGTAAATTTACTAGTTTGTCACTTGATTCAGATATAAAACTCACCAGTTACATCTGCCATGTCTAGATTAACCCTATTAAATTCAGCCTTCTGAATTATAAGAGATTTACAGCTCTTGTAAGTGTTCTGTCTCCTTTCAGCTCATTCTATTTTAGTCCTTATGGATAAAGAGAAGAATTGTCTCCGAGGTACAAAAATACCGTTACTGATTCTACAAGTGCTCTTAGAGGTTTCATTGTGATACACAGGCATCAGCTGGAGTTGACACCATCTTTCACATCAGTGTTGCCTTTGTCAAGGCCAAGGCACGGGTGGGTGTCCCCCATGTTCCTGATGCAGACCAGGAACCTAACCAAAGCCCATCGTGCTTTTCTTACAGGCTGTACGTTCAGCTTCCTTCATGGAAAACTAACCAGTAGGGAACTGAGTAGTACTGTAGGAACTGCTCTGTGCCGTATCAGCCTCGGGGGATACCTTTGGAGTCAGGCACTTGAAAGCGCTCACATGTTCGCTAGCTCAGACATACCTGTCAATTATTCCTCTTCTGCACATCAAATAGTTTTAGTATCACAAGACCTTGTGATGACGTGATTTGGAAAATATTTTCTGATCATGTCTTTAAACAAAGGAAAATTGTTTTGTAAGCTATTTTTTCTAGCAAAATTTGATCTTTGACCCTTTCCTGCCTCCCGTGTTTATCGTACTGCCCCATGACAGAATTCGTTGCTGTTAGATACCCTCAGTTTCTGGCCTCATGC